AAGGGTTCTACAGTGATCCCAAGTCCCCAATCTTTCATTTGATACTAAAACTACCCAAATAATCCCACTATTGACAAAGATACAGCTATGCGTAGGAACTATTTTGTTTAAAATATGTACTACTTTCTTGTATGTTCTTTCCGACCGGGCCTGAATTAGTGGTTCTATACCTATAACAGCACCAAACTTGTTATATTGACTTCTGCTTGACTTAATTTCCTTCTATGATCTATTTCTAGCATAGAAAAACACATAAAGCTTTTGTCAAAACACTATATCACTGAATTCAAGCTCAAATTGGACTGGTAGTAACATATGCGTTAAATAAAGAAAACTACATATGGATACCAATAGTGACAGATATGACACTTTTTCAATTTTTACCAGTTCTGATTTGTTAATATCTACTCAAATAACAGTGTTCTTACCTATATGTCTTATTTTTATCAGAAATTCTTCCTTGAATATAAATACAGTGGTCCAAACATGAAATATAATTGATAATTTTGTCCCCCCTTTTTCTACATGTTGGAAAAGGAGAGTGATTTGGTAAAAAAATCATACTTTTATGTATAAACATGGATCAACAAGAGTAATTTATGTATCTCCAAGCTAGACAACTTGCTAAAATGGTTATTAAATGCATTTCAAGAGAGATTTTGGAATTCCTATATAAGTATACACCAATTTTCCTTGAAATAAATAATTCACCAAGAAACACAATAAAACTTGAACACTCACTAGATAATTTGACCAAAAACAATATTTATACTATAAACTAGTCATAATATACAAGTTTCATTGGTTTCAGTGTTAGATAATCCAAAAATTTAAATTTCAGGTAAAATCTTAACTGTGTGCATGCTAAATGACCAAAAAAGGCTAAACTACCTTATTGTAGCAATTTGAGGGCCGTAATTTGACACTAACATAATTGTTACATAAAAAAAATAATGTAACATGATTTCTGACAACAAATGTGACCAGTTTTCACTGTAAAGGGTATGATTTCTAAAAATAGAATTTCACATGCCTGTCAGTAATAGGTATAAAACCACTAATTCACAGCCCCATTGCTTTCTATGTTAAATTCTGCAATTTCAAGCATAAATGGCTACTTTGTCTGAAGTTCAAATAAAGTGGCAGTTATTTCATGTCAAAACTGTACTTTATGCTGACTTGTGCTGAAAAAATCAACATACCTTTAATTGCATATTAGAGCGTACTGGTTCCCGGAAGTTTGATAGTACAAAAACAGGAACTTCTGATCTGAACAACAGGCCAAATGAGCCCTCCTATTAAAATTGCATATACTTCTTTATTATTCAAATAAAACTTTCAACAAGGGTTCTACAGTGATCCCAAGTCCCAAAGCTTTCATTTGATACTAAAACTACCCAAATATTCCCACTATTGACAAAGATACAGCTATGCGTAGGAACTATTTTGTTTAAAATATGTACTACTTTCTTGTATGTTCTTTCCGACCGGGCCTGAATTAGTGGTTCTATACCTATAACAGCACCAAACTTGTTATATTGACTTCTGCTTGACTTAATTTCCTTCTATGATCTATTTCTAGCATAGAAAAACACATAAAGCTTTTGTCAAAACACTATATCACTGAATTCAAGCTCAAATTGGACTGGTAGTAACATATGCGTTAAATAAAGAAAACTACATATGGATACCAATAGTGACAGATATGACACTTTTTCAATTTTTACCAGTTCTGATTTGTTAATATCTACTCAAATAACAGTGTTCTTACCTATATGTCTTATTTTTATCAGAAATTCTTCCTTGAATATAAATACAGTGGTCCAAACATGAAATATAATTGATAATTTTGTCCCCCCTTTTTCTACATGTTGGAAAAGGAGAGTGATTTGGTAAAAAAATCATACTTTTATGTATAAACATGGATCAACAAGAGTAATTTATGTATCTCCAAGCTAGACAACTTGCTAAAATGGTTATTAAATGCATTTCAAGAGAGATTTTGGAATTCCTATATAAGTATACACCAATTTTCCTTGAAATAAATAATTCACCAAGAAACACAATAAAACTTGAACACTCACTAGATAATTTGACCAAAAACAATATTTATACTATAAACTAGTCATAATATACAAGTTTCATTGGTTTCAGTGTTAGATAATCCAAAAATTTAAATTTCAGGTAAAATCTTAACTGTGTGCATGCTAAATGACCAAAAAAGGCTAAACTACCTTATTGTAGCAATTTGAGGGCCGTAATTTGACACTAACATAATTGTTACATAAAAAAAATAATGTAACATGATTTCTGACAACAAATGTGACCAGTTTTCACTGTAAAGGGTATGATTTCTAAAAATAGAATTTCACATGCCTGTCAGTAATAGGTATAAAACCACTAATTCACAGCCCCATTGCTTTCTATGTTAAATTCTGCAATTTCAAGCATAAATGGCTACTTTGTCTGAAGTTCAAATAAAGTGGCAGTTATTTCATGTCAAAACTGTACTTTATGCTGACTTGTGCTGAAAAAATCAACATACCTTTAATTGCATATTAGAGCGTACTGGTTCCCGGAAGTTTGATAGTACAAAAACAGGAACTTCTGATCTGAACAACAGGCCAAATGAGCCCTCCTATTAAAATTGCATATACTTCTTTATTATTCAAATAAAACTTTCAACAAGGGTTCTACAGTGATCCCAAGTCCCAAAGCTTTCATTTGATACTAAAACTACCCAAATATTCCCACTATTGACAAAGATACAGCTATGCGTAGGAACTATTTTGTTTAAAATATGTACTACTTTCTTGTATGTTCTTTCCGACCGGGCCTGAATTAGTGGTTCTATACCTATAACAGCACCAAACTTGTTATATTGACTTCTGCTTGACTTAATTTCCTTCTATGATCTATTTCTAGCATAGAAAAACACATAAAGCTTTTGTCAAAACACTATATCACTGAATTCAAGCTCAAATTGGACTGGTAGTAACATATGCGTTAAATAAAGAAAACTACATATGGATACCAATAGTGACAGATATGACACTTTTTCAATTTTTACCAGTTCTGATTTGTTAATATCTACTCAAATAACAGTGTTCTTACCTATATGTCTTATTTTTATCAGAAATTCTTCCTTGAATATAAATACAGTGGTCCAAACATGAAATATAATTGATAATTTTGTCCCCCCTTTTTCTACATGTTGGAAAAGGAGAGTGATTTGGTAAAAAAATCATACTTTTATGTATAAACATGGATCAACAAGAGTAATTTATGTATCTCCAAGCTAGACAACTTGCTAAAATGGTTATTAAATGCATTTCAAGAGAGATTTTGGAATTCCTATATAAGTATACACCAATTTTCCTTGAAATAAATAATTCACCAAGAAACACAATAAAACTTGAACACTCACTAGATAATTTGACCAAAAACAATATTTATACTATAAACTAGTCATAATATACAAGTTTCATTGGTTTCAGTGTTAGATAATCCAAAAATTTAAATTTCAGGTAAAATCTTAACTGTGTGCATGCTAAATGACCAAAAAAGGCTAAACTACCTTATTGTAGCAATTTGAGGGCCGTAATTTGACACTAACATAATTGTTACATAAAAAAAATAATGTAACATGATTTCTGACAACAAATGTGACCAGTTTTCACTGTAAAGGGTATGATTTCTAAAAATAGAATTTCACATGCCTGTCAGTAATAGGTATAAAACCACTAATTCACAGCCCCATTGCTTTCTATGTTAAATTCTGCAATTTCAAGCATAAATGGCTACTTTGTCTGAAGTTCAAATAAAGTGGCAGTTATTTCATGTCAAAACTGTACTTTATGCTGACTTGTGCTGAAAAAATCAACATACCTTTAATTGCATATTAGAGCGTACTGGTTCCCGGAAGTTTGATAGTACAAAAACAGGAACTTCTGATCTGAACAACAGGCCAAATGAGCCCTCCTATTAAAATTGCATATACTTCTTTATTATTCAAATAAAACTTTCAACAAGGGTTCTACAGTGATCCCAAGTCCCAAAGCTTTCATTTGATACTAAAACTACCCAAATATTCCCACTATTGACAAAGATACAGCTATGCGTAGGAACTATTTTGTTTAAAATATGTACTACTTTCTTGTATGTTCTTTCCGACCGGGCCTGAATTAGTGGTTCTATACCTTAAAACCATTGGATATAAAAAACTATTAGATATCTTCTAAGAAACAATTTCGACATTTAAACGAAATCTTTTACTAATGATACTGGGAAGATCCTTAACTAATTTACAGTTTTTGTGGTCAAACCCAAGTAAGAAATGACCAACACAAAGGAACATAAATAGAACCATACACATAGTACATGCATGCAGGTTGTCAGATACCATCTCGCATATTAAAATCACATCATGCAGAAATGACCTAATGTGTTCCTCTCCTAATTATGAGTTTTGCTGCAATATCCAAAATCAAAGTTGTGGAACACATTTTATTAGAATCGTTGGTAATCCATGCAATTAGTGTCTCCTCCATGAGAGTCTTGAACATTAAAACTAAATATTAAATAAACGACACTGCTAATTCTTAGTGTTTGGTACAGGTTGGCTATCACTGTACAACACAGTTTAACCATGGAAGTATTATATGTCAATATTATACTTCCATGGTTTAACATAGAACCCTATGGGAAAAACAGAGAACTATTTTTGTCAGAAAACACTGTCAAACATCCAAATATACTATCCACACTGATATGTGTCCATACTTTTATAGTTTTAAAATAAAACGAAAAACGCAGAAAGGGAGAAAAATCATTATTTAAGGACAATTAATATCAATGAGTTGATTTCTTATATAAGGACAATTAATATCAAGGAGTTGATTTCCAATTAAGTTATCTTAACATATTTGTTGGTCGTATATGGCTGATCTATTTTCGATAACATTTTCTTCAGATCTATAATACTTTTCAATAGTCAAAAATCAAGTTTACAGTTTATTTAATAGTCAAAAATCAAGTTTACAGTTTATTTATTTAATGACAATTAGTCGCATCTGGGACTTACATGAATAATACAGTCTCTTGGTCACAGGTTGTTAATTCCTTCATTTTTTTTAAATTCAAAGACTAATTGCTAGTTTTATTTAAAAACAACAACATTATTTTATTAAAATACTTATTGTATTTCGATACTATACGAATAAAAGTCTTTGATGTGTTCATCAAAAGACACATTTTGTTTTATGGTGTATAACAGGAGTGATTTATATTGTACAGTGTGCAAATGATTACTTGTACATATATACATTTTTTTTTTTACTGAAAACCAAGTTATAATTCTGTCTTTTTTTCTTTTTTTTTTGTTGTCCACATATCCCTATACAATGTACAATCTAAATTACAGTTATGCGTTCATTTATTACGAGGAATTGTTAACAATATCAAACTTTCGTGTGTATATAAATATGAAATAAATATATGTATGCTCTTTTCGGTTCCTTTTCGGTTCTTTTCTGTTCTTTTTGGTCCTTTTCGGTCCTTTTCTGTTCTTTTCTGTAAATCGTCGCTCTTTTCTGTAAATCGTTGGACCGCTATTTAATTTCTTTCACTGTATCCCTTTGCTTTATTAATTACTGATCACAAGTGGTCACGTGACACTCTGGTTAACTTATACCTTATCATCATTCAACTGTTTAATTAGAGCCTTTTTCTAAATCACAAAAGATACAACACAGCTTATTATCACAATTTTTAACGCAATATTGTTTAAATAAGAAAAGTATTTTCTACAACCGCTATCTTATTGAAAAAATCCCACTTGGAGTCTTACGTCCTCACTTTAACTATGCCTGATCTTTCCATTTGATTCTTCATTTTATAATCCATTCGTACAATTTCACGTTATGGGTCTTAAGCAAACGCACTTTGACTGCTGCTATAATTACGTCCGTACACTGTCAAATGGTATAGAAAGATATCCAATATATACATCATCTTCGGCGAGACATAATGGAAGGTTATTGTATTGGTGCTGCAGCAGTCCTTACCCTGTAAAACAAACATAATTTTGCATTTATAAAGAATCACTTACATTGCGGCATCTACAGTCGCAAAAGGTTTAGTGGAGTTTAGCTTGAAATACTTATCTTTTTCTGAATACTTAGTACCATAAAAAGGGAAAACTAGATCGATGAGGCAACAGCCCACACCAAAATCTGGTGTGAACTCAGGAGCTAGGGAAGACTAACCAGATCCTGATTCACTAGTGATTTCCACCGTATTAAACATGTTGAAATACACAAATAAATAATATCTGATGATTACACCGTAAAAATAGCACATTGGAAAATAACCACTACAAAACCCTAATCTAAATTCAATGACCCCAAAAGGTGATTTGCAGACGACTTTCGGATTTTCATGTCGTTGGGTTTCTGTTTTAAAACGTATACTGGACATTTGATTTTTTTTTCATATACTTATCACCCCACATACCGGGTAATGACGAGAAGACATTAATATAGTGATAGGTGTCAGAATTAAGCAATATAAGAACCTTACAACGGATATGTCCCAATGTCGTAACTACAATCCCGTTTTCTTTTCCTCGAATGTGACCCACCGAATTTGACTTCTTACCGGGTTTGTAATTACATGAGCAACACGATGGATGTCACTAGTAGAGCAGGATCCCCTTACCCTGCCGGAGCACCTGAGATCATTGTCGTTTTCCGTTTTTTTTGCCATGGACTGTCAGTTTAATTCGATTTATGAGTCTGAATATTCCTTTGCTTTCTTTAGCCTCTTTTTAAAACTTCACATATATTTACAAAACACATATAGAATTAAGGAGATGTCTCAAGTTAAAGTTTATACAGCCAAGTAGGATATTATGACGGATCTGCCAATGTGACACAATGGGTTAGGTTTATTCAAGATGAAATATTTGACATGGAACATTTATTCTGATTAAAAGTGAAGTTGAAAACATCTACCAGTGCTGTTTTAAATCAGGACATTTTAAAAAGGAATTTGTTTGCTTAGTTTCATGGAAGACATTTCATTTTTGGCTAATGTGGCCCTTTTGGACAATTAAAACTTATTCCTAATTACATATTGTTTTAACGTATAAAAACACAGTTTCCTGTCTTTAAATAATTTATAAATGAGTGTAATTGCACAAAAGTTTGTTGATGTAGCTCACCAGAAACATTGATCATGCGATGTATCAAATTAACCTTATATTTGTCTTTGCGTTATAAGGGGGAGGGGTAACTTTCCAGTACAGTTTTTTTGGTTTTAATATAATCATTTAAGAAAAATACCTAAGATTTAAAAGATAAACTATTTATTCTCCTTAAACCCGGACACATTTGGTGCCTAGTGATTCTTTTATCACGCACAATTAATAAGTCTTAGGTACGTAACATTAAGTGACCGCCCGATTCTTGCTTCATGTTTCAATTAATATTTAACTGATACTATCATAATAAATATAGCCTCATAAAACATCTGCACCTTGATAGGATTTACACTTATATTATAATAGCTTGTCTGATGTCAATCTTGATTTTTGTAAGAATTGTTAATCATTGTAAAAAGTGAATGTACGATATACATATTCATAAATATAGAATAAGGCGACAGTAGTTTACCGATGTTCAAATCTCGCAAATCGATTCAGAGACAAATGAAGGTACAAAAAAAAACTGAAGGAATCGCATGAACTTTAAAAGGAGCGAAACCGGTTGTATTAGGTTTTGGATTTTCAAATAGTTTTGCTTCGAGCATCACTGAAGAGAAATTAACTGTCGAAATGCGCATCTGGTGCAGTAAAATTGTTATAGTTTTTTTTTTGTTGCAAGACGGGTTTAGAAATATCTATAATATTTATTACCGTTTTGGCCGGTGTACTAGGATACTTCTTCAGTAAATCGGATAATGGTCCTACCATGTGGTCTTCGATAGTTCCACCATGGAATGTTTCTCGATTTAATATGTCTGTTGTATCATATACTGGGACACCTTGGCCATTCAAACACTTTCCAATATCAACATCTTCATCATTTCCATCTTTGGCACAATTCTTATATTTAATCCCAAACAAAAGTTTGTTTAAAGCTTCCTTACTTAAAACATATCCTGCACCACCACTATTATATCCTTGTTTAGTGTACAGTTTATAGTTTTGTCCCAAATACACTGGTTCGTTACTTTTTAAGTAAGATAAGAAATGTCTCAAGTTTTCCAAAATAACGTATGTATCATCATCGGCCTTCAAAAACCAATCATAATCTGTGAAATGTGTATGAACATATTCAAATGCCCGAACAACTTTATCTGTAAGATGTTCTCGGCCATCTTTAGCTAAATCTAAGTAAACGACATTCGGGATTGTAGTCGGTCTGTTTGTGAAGAAAATAGTCTTGTTACAACGTCTTCCCCATGTATCATTTACAGCTTTAGCTTTAGAAAGTAAAGTATTATGTGTTGTAAGGACAAGACACATGATTGAAGCTGAAGATGGTGATTGTGGAGATCTGTTGCGTGCTATTGGTCTAGTGAAGTTAACATCATGTTGTATCTTTGAAGAGATTTTATCAGATTGAATAACTGGAAATAAATATAATATTGTGATTGTACTACATTTTCGTATTTTTTTGTCATACTTAATTCATTATTGTATATCACTTTGTTGCTTTATTTATTTACTCAGCTTCAAAACGGCTCAAAAATATTTCTATTTTAATATTTTTCGATGTTATGTCATAATCATAGTTATTATCATAGTTTCTCGGAAAGAATAAAAAGAAGCCAGAACTATCTAAGACTTAACGTTCCGCTATGTAGATATTGTCCTTCAATAACTCATATCTTGACTTACATCAGGAAATTAAGGCGTATTATTTATTTTTTTATTTCTTGTCTCATATCTTGACTTACATCAGGAAATTAACAAGTGATGTCAGGTTAGAGCAAAACTTTACGATAAAATGACTGTTTTCAGCTTTCCAATTGTGAACTTTCCATTTCTATGAACTAAGCCACTGACGGGAATCCCGACTTCACACCAATGAAATCCAGCTGTAAGTTACCCATTGATCAGATTCCTGACCTCAAATAAGCGAGATTGAAAAAAGCCACTGAAGAGGTACCTTACTTCACACAGGCGCAATGAAACTAAACAATTGGCAAGATTTCTGACTTCTCATTAGCAGGATTAAACTTATATCAATACTGAATATAAAAAAAACCCATGAGTTTTACCATTGATTTTACGTTCTGTCTGCATAACAGTAAATAAAAACAGAAAAAACGCAATGACAAATATCACAACAAGGTGTCTTCTTCTCGTGAATGCTGAAAACTTTTTCATTTCTAGTTGCCATATCCAGGCTCTGTAAAATAAAAATAGTATCAATTCTAATATGATTGATGTAGTCATATTATAAATTACCTATTTTCAAAACTTTGACTTGTTTGAAATACTAAGGATTTTCTACCCAAGGAATATATTTTCTTTGCTGTCATTGACAAAACCTACAGGAATTTAGGTTCATCAATGCGCTTCAACTTCATACTTTATTTTGGCCTTTTAACTTGACTGATTAGGGTGTCGCTGATGAGACTTTTGTATACGAAACGTGCGTCTGTCGTGCACCATTATTTCTTTATTTCTTGACTTTCCTAAAAGTTATGAATTTTATTTGCAACGGTTCAGCAAATTTTTCGTACTTCATTTGCCCTTTTTAACGTTTTGAATTCGAACGTTACTGATGAGTCTTTTGAAATACTAAGGCTTTTCTACCTGAGGAATAGATTACCTTAGCTGTATTTGGCAAAACTTTTAGGAATTTTTGGTCCTCAATGCTCTTCAACTTCGTACTTTATTTGGCCTTTTTAATATTTTTTGATTCGAGCGTCACTGATGAGTCATTTGTAGACCAAATCCGCGTCTGGCGTAAATATAAAATTTCAATCTTGGTATCTATGATGAGTTTATTTACAACCACTGGGTCGATGCCACTGAGTGGAGATTTATTTCCCCGAGGGTATCACCAGCCCAGTAGTCAGCACTTCTGTGTTGACTTGAGTTATCATTGCTATGTTCATAATTATAAATTAACTGTTAACAAAACTTTGAATTTTTTGAAATACTAAGGCTTTTCTACCTCAGGAATAGATTACCTTAGCTGTATTTGGCAAAACTTTTAGGAATTTTTTGTCCTCAATGCTCTTCAACTTCGTACTTTATTTGGCCTTTTTAATATTTTTTGATTTTAGCGTTACTGATGAGTCTTTTGTAGACGAAACGCGCGTCTGGCGTAAATATAAAATTTCAATCTTGGTATCTATGATGAGTTTATTGTATACGACACACAGCGTACAAAATGTTAATTAAGCCTGATATATATGATGAGTTTATCTATGTAAATCAAACTCAAGTAGACCTAATGTCGACTTAATTTTGAAAGAAGGAAAATACAAAATTTGGTTGAAAATATGAAAAATCTCTATGTACTATAATATTCTTGTATGTATATGAAGCAAACTATTAGCAACATTTCCAATACGGTTTTGTTTATGTGTAGAACATATTAATTGTTTTTGATAACGGACGAGAAAAGAACACATAAAACTGACTTCTTTAAAAACTACAACACAGGGGACTTCTTGTTGATTTGATTAATTAAATTTTATTCTCCTAAATAGTCTCTTGACAAAATAAATGAGCTCGTTGATAGCAGCAGATGAAGACATGTACGTGTAATTTGTGCTTGCAACTATCCATTTGATAAATGAAAATGATTATTATTGTACTTTGCCATAATAAATATGAGGTATGGCCCTCGGTGGGTTAACCATGGAATAAACTTGTATGGCACTTGTTTAAGGGTTATTATATCTAATTGTGGAACAGGAATGCTTTGTTGGCTGTTATTTTGTGGACTCGCCTTAAAGAAACAAATACGTTCTTTTTGGGTGTTGAATCATGAATCTAAATTACTGTTCATATTAGATGTTCATAAAGAATCACTGCAACAAACAAACAATGAAATCACTTTCGATTGTAATTGAAATAGTAAACGTGCTGAAACTTGACAAGGCATATTTGGTATATGTTACGAATTTTTCAGTTTATTAATCCAATCTGGTCTGACGTAATTTGACCAAATATTCTGTATAATTTTTATTGTTTATAGTTAATCTGGATCTCTTTTATCCAAATATTCTTGATTCAAATCTGTATCATTCCGCTTGTATATTTGGTTCTAGATGATTTTATTGAATGTCATGTGTGGATTAGTTTGGTATAATTGCGGAACGGGAATGCTTTGTTTTGCTGTTATATTTTGGACTCACCTTAAAGAAACAAATGCGTTCTTTTGTGTGTTGAACCACGAAGGACTAAATTACCGTACATATTAGATGTTCATAAAGAATCACTGAAACAAACAAACAATGAAATTACTTTTGATTATAACTGAAATAGTAAATGTGCTGAAACATGGCTGACGTAAATTTGAACAAGTATTTTGTATAGTTTTTATTGTTTATAGTTAATCTTGATCTCTTTTATCCAAATATTCTTGATTCAAAACTTTATCATTCCGCTAGCATATTCGGTTTTAGATGAATTTTATGTGTGGATTTGTTTGGTATATAATATATGTACGAACGTTGAGTAAAGGGTGAATGTCTTATTTTGAATAATTGCAACATCACTGACAGGTAATATATGTGGAGCAGGATCTTCTTCCTTTCGGAAGTAAATGTATTGACCTCGGTTTTTGATTTATGTTGTTCAGTCTTTTTATGTAGTATTTTGTTGATTGTTATTATCTTTTCGTGGTTTTTTAGTTTTCGGAAAAGGCGTTATCAATTTCTCTTCAAGTAAACTCATCCTAGATACCAGAATTGAAATTTTGTATTTGCGCCAGACGCGCCTTTCGTCTACAAAAGACTCATCACTGACGCTCAATTAAGTCAATTACTGAATGCATGAATATTTCAATATCAATCGATATAAAACACTAATATCTTTTTTGCATGTATATATAGGTGTCTCCTAATAAGCACGAGTTTTCTTTTTAGACATGATTATATATAGTTTATACATTGAATTCCTCCTATTTCAAAACTATTTTCATTTTTTTAGAATGAAATCTTGCCTGTTATGATAATATGTATATCTGTGTGATCATTGTGTATTCAAACATTTGAGACGTAATACTATGACTCGTTTACGTATGATATACCACGTATTATCATTTTCATGTTCTTCCTAATGAGGTTCCTGAATTGATACGGTCACGTTATTTAGCTAAACTTCATTTTAATTAGTTCATATTTTACTTTCCCAAGCAAATTAAATTGTAAATATTCTAAAAAATATCACCGAATTACAAATTAGATTTGTTATTTTTTTATTGCTATTAACATAACCATATGAGAGTTCAAACCTTGAATTCGTATCAATTTCAATAACCGAAAGTGTCATATAAAAAGTAGAAAATGACATGAGAATGCAAAGTCTGGAAACAACACCATGGCCTCAACAAAATAAGCAACATATAAAGGATAACTAACTATGTATGAATTAATGAGCCGAAGTAAAAAGTAAAATAACAAAAATACCGAGCTCCAAGGAAAATTCAAAACGGAAAATTCACTATCAAATGGCAAAATCAAAAGAGCAAACACATCAAACGAATGAAAAACAAATGTCTGACGATGTAGATGATAAACCACAATCTAAGACGTGGTAAAAATGTCGTTAGCTAGTTAAGACACAGACACATCGTATAGATCAACCAATTCGTGATGGTGTCCATAAAATTTACGGAGTATCATTTTTAATCTTTCCTCCTCCTCTGCGCAGATAAGGAAAACTGTTATTAATTTACGTTTTTTGATTGAGTTAAGCCTTCCAATTGAAATTTTATTGTGTGTTTTTCTATGTTGTGATGTTATACTATTGTTTCAGAAAAGGGAGAAGGTTTGGTACCATTAAAACGTTTAATCCCGCTGCAAATGTTTGCACCTGTCCTAAGTCAGGAATCTGATTACAGTAGTTGTCGTCTGTTTATGTAGTTCATACGTGTTTCTCGTTTCTCGTTTTTATATAGATTAGACCGTTGGTTTTTCCGTTTGAATGGTTTTACACAAGTAATTTTTTGCGTTCGGTTTGAGCCAATGCTCCGTGTTGAAGGCCGTACCTTGACCTATAATGGTTTACTTTTATAAATTGTAACTTGGATGGAGAGTTGTCTCATTGGCACTCATACCACATCTTCCTATATCTATTAAAGTCTTTATATTTGTGGAACGGTACCAATATAAGATGGTAATATACGAAGATGGTGTTATAAAATCAAATAATTTTTACAATACTGAGTACATATATAAAGTGCCTAGAATAGATTATATATATATAAAGTACCTAGAAAATCAACCTAACGTTCTTTACTTCCTCCCCAACTGGGGCTGAAACCTGTACTTTTCACTTCTCACCTTTACGAAAACACCGCCTAGCTTTGCACAGAAGCCTTATCCCCTGCCCTTACTATAGCTGATAAAAATGTATAATATATTTATTTATGAGTTTATTAATTTCGTGCTTCCGAAACCGTTTTCTGGAATTACATGATTTAGGAAAGCTCAAATCAAAACGATAAAATAAAAATGAAAACTAAGGACTTTAAATCCTAAGCACGTAAAGAGCTATATGACCAAAAGAAATCTTAAAATTTTAGCCAAATCTATCTGTGGTCAACTTTGCCTGAGGGATTTGAAATCCTTTTTTGGTTTTATAATTTCTTAATTTTTGACATTTTTACGTATTATGTCTATTTGTTTTGCTCACACATTGTTTTCAATATAATGGAATTCTAAGCTACTGTCATACAAGTGATAGGTTTAGCTAGCTATAAAACTAGGTTTAATCCACCATTTTCTACATAAAGAAATGCCTTACCAAGCCAGGAATATGACAGTTGTTTTCCATTCGTTTAATGTGTCTGAGCTTTTGATTTTGCCATTTGATAAAGGATTTTCGTTTTGAATTTTCCTTGGAGGTCGTTTTTTTTTATTATTTTACTTTTTACCACTTGGTTGGTGATGCTCTCAATGATAAGTGTCCAACAGAAGCGGCATGTATCCAGTGGCTGTAAAATCAAGGATACTACGTACATATTTGAGTACGACAGAAACATTATAAAACAACTGAGGACAACCGATTCCACAGGAGCGAAATCTGTCACAATTAAGGAAACAGTATACAACAACTGAGGACAACCGATTCCACAGGAGCGAAATCCGTCACAATTAAGGAAACATTATACAACAACTGAGGACAACCGATTCCACAGGAGCGAAATCCGTCACATTTAAGGAAACATTATACAACAACTCGAGGGTTCAGAGCAAAAAGGTTCTATCTGCATTTTTCGCTGTTTTGAGAAAATCAAGTTTTAAGCTTTGACACCTTCTGAAAATTAAGGTTTTCGTCAAAGTGAGTTAATATTTGGCACAATTGTTAGGACGATATAGAAGTATTTTGTATTTGTATATTTAAGAGAAGTCCCATATACAAAAGGTAAAAAAGTAGGTCAAAGCACATAGAACCTTTTTGCCTTAGGTAAAAATGACCGAACTAAGTATGGCAAAAAGGTTCTATATGCTAATATTACCTTTTATGTTTGTCATTTAACATGTCATAAGTAAAATTACAGGCATTTGTCTGGAACTGTATGTTTATGTTTCATACACGTCATCTTCATCCATATCTGGCTCTGGTAACTTATCTTTGATGGATTTTCCACAGGGAAGATTTTCATAATATGAGTGAAATGTTGCAGGAATCACCCCACTGCTGCATAGAGATAACAGATCTGCTTTTTTGGCCTCAGAAATAGGCAATTTGGTATCATAGGCAGGAGCCAGAGTGGCGATTTGCATTGCCATCTTACGTCCCCGAAGTCCACTTTGTTGGACATTAACTGTCTGGAACTTTTCTTCTTCAAAACAGTAATTGAAAGATATTGCGTCTGGGGAAGCTTTATTTACTTTTATCCATTTACCAAGTAGCCAGTTTATTGTTTTATTGTTAACAGTCTTCTTCATGTTTTTTTGCGAAGAGATTTTAAGTCAGAGAAGTCCCGAAAATTCATTGGAATTACTATGTAAGGGTTCTTCTTTCTAGCCATTGAAACAACTGTATCCCACTGTGAGGGATGATAAATCTGTGTATTCTTCTTTCCTCTTTCAACTGCAGAGTGAATGGATTCTGCTTCCATCTCTGAATGTCCACGCTCAAAGAACTTGTGATTTATTATTTCTATACTCTTATGTTGATTCAATGCGTACAACATTGCAGAGGCAACATACTGATTTCTGTTTTGTTTACCACAGGTGTCTGAGTAAAATGTAATTTCCTTCAAATGAGAGTTCTTTTCTGCAACGGAGTTTATATGCATTAGGATGCATGATCCTATTTCGTTTGAGCCCCGTTCTCCATTAACTTCATCCCATAAATAACAGGTCCCTTTTCCATCCCCAAGTGAGTAAAAGGACAAGTTGTAAGTTGACAGACATCGTTTATAGTATAAATCTCCAACCATTGAACATGGAGTGGGTAATACTGCTTTTAAATCAAAAGTTGAAACAACAAAAGACTTGTCAGTTTTTGCTCTTTGTTTGTCTTTTGTCTTTTGATCCCTCGAACTTTCTTTGTTTCTTTGATGACGTACAAATTGTTCTTCTTCATCGTCATCCAGTTCTCCTCGCTGTTTTTTCTCATAATATACTGTACAAATAGAACATTAATCTTTCTTTGGTTTATGGAAAGCTAAGTTATATTCTGTACAAAAGATTTCCCTGTAGATATTTATCTTACATGGTTTTTTTCTTTTTTTCTTACAGAGCTCTTCATACAAGTAGAACACCTTTTTCAGTGATAAATTTGCACTGAGATACTGCCTGTTAGAATCTTTTCTGGTGTAATGTGATGGAACTGTGGGGAAGGACTTTATATGTTCTCTTATAAAATTTCTGTCAATCCCTGGAGTTTTGTTTACAGATGAAGTTTTTCCACGATTATTTACACCAACAAAGACTCCATGTTGTTTCTTTTTCAGTGCATACTGTACAGTTTTTTGGCTGATGTCTAAAGCTCCTAGAAAGAAGGTTTTGCAAATTCTTTCCCTTTTTTCATTAACTGTAAGATGATAGGAGTTTGAGTTCTCTTTTCTATTTGTGGTAGTCCTTTTTGCCTTATCTTGGTCTACATGTTGACAAAGAAATGCCCGTTGTTTTTCATAGGAACCCATTTCGTAGTAAGTAGAAAATATCTTATACGCATCTTCTTTTGATACTTTATTGGAGCAACGAAATCTGCATCTAGAACAATCACGATACTTTACGGTATTTTGATCTTGCTGTTTCCTTGTTCTACCAATGTAGGGTAAACCATGTACCCCGTTATGCTTTCTTTTATTTTTTTTCCAGGCTTGTGGATTGCTTTTCATCTTTCGGAAAAGTTGCTTCTTTACCGGACTTTTATAGTTTACTTTTTTTCTAGGAGTGATAACACTTCCTCTCTTGGAAACTGGTGAACTTATGTTTTCTCTTGTTGGTGTTTTGTTTGAGTTTCCATTTGTTGAATTTGGTGTATCCATCATTTCAACTGCATCATAATGCTCCTGGCCAGTTATTGAGAAAAGTGCTACTTTTATGAAGTCTTTTGATGAATTATTCTCTCCAAGATCTGGTAAAATGTCATACACAGAATTTGCAACTTTACTTGAATAGACCCGTATTGGGTGTCTGTAGATGTTTGATAATGCTAAAGGCATCATATCTGCTAAATCAGAATTCCAGTGGCCATTATGACTGAGATCGTGCAAATAGTCATCATAACGTTTCTTCTTCTCTTCTTCTGATAATTGTTCATCAAAACTTAAAAAGTTGTTGTAATGTGCTCTCTCATGTTGAAGGTGTTCAACTAAATCTTTCCGCATTTTTTCAACAGTTAAATAAGAATTTCCTTCTTGTAATCCATGTAAAACTGCTTTTAAGAAGCAATTCCCATCAGCTGCTATTGGTACTCTCTTCAAGTTGTTACTTAACAGAAGGTTGTTCAGTCTGATAGTATGATATTGTACAACCACTCGTCTGTTTTCCTCTATTTTTCTGCTTCTTTTGATAACACTCGAAGCCCTTGGAGATTGACTATTACTTGTAATTGGCTGTTTGTCCTGTAGTGTCCCAGTTCCAGATCTGTCCTTTTTGTTCTTTACCACAGCTACAATCTTTCGTTTCTTTGACAGAATGTGCTTTAATGTTTTACCTTTCCTTTTCCGGTCTTTATTACGATAATTCCTTTTCCTTTGTTTCCTAATCAATTTTATGTTCTGAATAGACTCGGCATCAGAAATAGAGTCAGAAGAGTATACATCTTCCTTAGTTGGCTTATACGTATCATCTTCTCCTGAATCATCAGTGAGATCTGTGTATTCAAGACATGGTTCTGTCTTCGCTTTTCTCTCTCTGAATGAGTAATGTTTTTTACTATGAAAATTGATATAGCTCTTTTCGTCGTTCCAATGTCCCTTTTTCTGCAACTGTCTTGATCTCAATGAATTTGAACCTGTTGACAATCGTTTAATTGCATTATTTTTCAACTTCTGGGAAATGGTTTTAAGATATTGTTTCTGCAATATTTTCTTATTTTTTGTAACATTAATCAATGGAATATTATCATCTGGGTCGTCTTTTGTTCTCTGTTTCTTGTTCTTTAGATTTGAACCAGTTGACAAACTTTTAATATTTTTCCGTTTTCTCAGAATAGCTTTACGAGCTTGTTTCTGTAGTCGCTGCTTGTTTTTTGTTACATTAATCCAAGGTATACTGTCATCTGGATCAGACTCAGCGGATGATTTATCAGAGACTGTTGATGTTTTCTTTTTGTTACAGAATGCATTATAAGCTGTTGGAGTAGTGGAAATCGATGTTATAATCTTGTCCTGTGTGTCAGTGCTGTTTTCAGTTGTTGTTGTTGAAGTTTCTGTTTTTTCTGTTTCTTGATCAATGGTCTCTGATATTGCTTTTAGGTCTGTATCTGACCAATCTGACCAATCTATGTCAGAATCCATCTGAAATAATTTAAAAATGTAAAATCAATATTTATCTTTTACAAGTCATGTTATGCAACTTAGACGGTATATCCATGTTTAATTGGATTATTTTGTAGATATAAAAGTTATAATTTAGTTGAAAATATCTGTATGCTTTGTTTATAAATACTAAATAGCAATCTTTTAAGTTCGGGATAATGATTCCATCATAAATAGGATGTCGAGCAAGCATCTACCGCATCAATATATTTATCATAAAAGCTTTTTGGATATCATTTTGCTTTCCAATTTAGGATCAATATTAATCTATAACAAGATACCCATTTTTTTAAAAGACCCTCGTAATAAATAATACTTATTCGACAACTTGTAAGCTTTTTGACTGTCTTTCATAATAATGAAATCTTCAATGTTTACTCCCCACAGTAACAGAAATGAATTTATGTTATTAAAAAAAAAAAACACCCCATGAAGACCCTCATTTCCTACTACAATATTACTGCCTTTAATTATTATTGTATTAATCAATGAAATATGCATATATATTTTACATATATTATTAAATTAAAAATATACATATTTATATAAAAAACAACTTTGATATAAAACTGAGAAAGAAACTTACTTGTGAATTATATTAATTCTTTTGTCTTTTAACATGTGTTTACTGGCGTAATTATGTGTGTTGATGCTGAAACTGGTACACATTCCACAGATAACATTATCAAAACAAAACACAAGCAGTGAAATGAAATATAATCTCATGTAATAAAATATCACATTCTGTTTATCTTAATTATCTGTCTTATTTATAGAGCAAAAAGGTACTATCTGGCAGATAGAACCTTTTTGCACTTAAGTCAATGTAAATAGAACCTTTTTGCACAAATTAAATTTGACATTTGTAGATAAAACCTTTGAACATTTTACTTTTTCAATCTTATTAATTACTATATGACTTAAATATTTTTACAGATAATAAATAATATAATTTCACTTATTTCTGCATATCAAACTAAGAAATGATGCAAAATGCAGATAGAACCTTTTTGCTCTGAACCTTCGAACTGAGGACAACCGATTCCACAGGAGCGAAATCCGTCACATTTAAGGAAGCATTATACAACAACTGAGGACAACCGATTTCACAGGAGCGAAATCCGTCACAATTAAGGAAACATTATAAAACAACATCGGACCACATAAACCACAAGAGCCTAATCAAGTTCACGCCAAAGGAAACATTATACGACAACACCAGTCCGCATAAACCACAAGAGCCTAATCAAGTTCACGCCAAAGGAAACATTCTATAACAACACCAGTCTGCATAAACTACAAGAGCCTAATCAAGTTCACGCCAAAGGAAACATTATACAACAACACCAGTCCGCATAAACCACAAGAGCCAAAATCAAGTTCACGCCAAAGGAAACATTATACAACAACACCAGTCCGCATAAACCACAAGAGCCTAATCAAGTTCACGCCAAAGGAAACATTATGCAACAACACCAGACAACACATTCCATATGAACAAAATCAGTTTAAAGTCATCAAAATTTGATAAAGCAACATTAAACCACATATTCTCATTGTTTAAGGATTTTGAAGGCTTTTGTCACTTTAGTGTGATACGAAGATCTTTTAATGGTAACAGCATAAGACTTATTTCATGGCTTAAATATATACAACAATCATGTTTTAATGCGTTCTTTCATTTTCTTTTTTGCATTATATTAGTATACAAACAAATATATAGCAACTTTTAAACAAAACAGCTGTTATATAATGCTGAAAAAGGCATGCATATTACAAAAAAAGATGATTGGGTGCTTACATACACAAAATAAAGAATATTGGAGTGCTCATATCGAAGAGCATATAGAGAATAATTGCAAAATACATAAAGAAGAGAATAATTTGCAAATTAAATAAATGACAGAGAAACATGGCCTAACAATAAAGAATACATAAGGAAGACCACCCAATCAAGGCTCCTATCAAATTCAAATCAAGTTTCAAAAGCTCTTCAAAGATACCGGACTTAAATTTTACGGACATGAGTTGGTTGACCGTTATTGAATATCTATATCACAGATGACGACGGATGTAATTATTGTCATATTTGTAACCACTATCACGTCCTCTTTTTCCTCGAATGTGACCTATTGAATTAGACTTATCAAGCGGGTTTGTACTTTCATGAGCATGGGTGCCACATGTGGAGGAGGATCTGCTTACCCCTCCCAGAGCACTCGAGATCACCGCATTTTTGGTGGGGTTCGTGTTGCTCGTTCTTTAGTTGTCTATGTTGTCTATGTTGTGTTTTGTGTACTGTTGATTGTCATTCTTACGTTTTTTTAGTTCTGTTTTTGCCATGGCATTGTCAGCTTGTTTTCGACTTATGAGTTTGAATATCCCTTCGGTATCTTTCGCCTCTTTCATAAGGTAGGAAAAATATTTTCCTACAACATACCAATAGAGCCAAATCAAAATTTCAAAATGGAGGCCACTCATATTTTAGATATTGAATATAATGTCACCGTCTGTCAACACACCCGTTCTAGCTACTATTGGAGTTCATGCGATTCCCTCAGTTTTAGTTCGTTATCTGTATTTGTCTCTTCCTAATCGATTTACGTAATTTGAACATTGATAAACTACTATTGCCCTAATCTATCCAAATGGATTTGAATAGTAAATGCATCAAAAACAAATACGAAACAAAATCTAGATTTTATTACAATGGCTTCATTCATGGGTCTACGGTCCAAAGGGAAAACTGATATGATAATCTAGACTTAGTATAATGGCTTCATTCATGGGTCTACGGTCCAAAGGGAAAACTTATATGATTATCTAGACTGAATACAATGGCTTCATTTATGGGTCTACCGTCCAAAGGGAAAACTGATATGATAATCTAGACTGAAAACAATGGCTTCATTCATGGGTCTACGGTCCAAAGGGTCCAAGTTTGTTTTTATAGTGATTAAGATGATAACACAATGTTGACTGCTGTTTCCCTATTTTTGACATTTTTACCTATTGTGTCTGTTTTGTTCACGCATCGTTGTCATTATAATGGAATTCGATGCGACTGCCATACAAGTGAGAGGTTTTTCTAGCTATAATTCGGGTTCAATCCACCATTTTCTACATAAGAAAATGCCTGTACCAAGTCAGGAATATGATAGTTGTTATCCATTCGTTTGATGTGTTTGAGCTTTTGATTTTGCCATTTGATAAGGGATTTCCTTTTTGAATTTTCCTCTGAGTTCAGTATTTTTTTTGTGATTTTGCTTTTTGATATGATAATCGAAATAATAGAGAAATACAATAACTGTTGAAATAGTTATTTGTTTTATAGTGATTAAAAATTTTTACACAATATTGACTGCTGTATCCTAATTTTTGACATTTTTACCCATTCGTTTGATGTGTTTGAGCTTTTGATTTTGCCATTTGATAAGGGATTTCCTTTTTGAATTTTCCTCTGAGTTCAGTATTTTTTTTGTGATTTTGCTTTTTGATATGATAATCGAAATAATAGAGAAATACAATAACTGTTGAAATAGTTATTTGTTTTATAGTGATTAAAAATTTTTACACAATATTGACTGCTGTATCCTAATTTTTGACATTTTTACCTATTATGTCCCATTTTGCTCACACATTGTTGTCAATATAATGGAATTCTATGCGAGTGTCATACAAGTGAGAGGTTTAGCTAGTTACCAAGTCAGGAATATGACAGTTGTTTTCCATTCGTTTGATGTGTTTCAGCTTTTGATTTTGCCATTTGAAAAAGGACTTTACGTTTTGAATTTTCCTTGGAGTTCGATATTTTTGTTATTTTACTTTATACAAAATGGGAAAAAGTGGTTAAAAAATCTGTCAAAATAGATTTCACAAAGTAAGATATTAATATAAACGTTTAACTATTAACTCTAGTAAAAGGCGTCTAAATTTAGTGAATACTAATAGTTTTTACCATGCATTTATCTTCAAATAAATAATTCCATATAAATTTGAATGCATGCTATGAACTATTCTTAAAGAAGATCTTATTTTTTTATAGATATTTCTTAAAATGTTCAATCATATTCCCCAGAATGCCAGATTGTCAAATTGAACTTTGACCGTTTCACACACAGTAATACATTTTTTACAATAAGAATTATTTTACTGTAAATTCCATGTCATGTCACATTTTACCTGTAACGCACTTCATGTTTACAACCTTTATTGTTATAGATATAACCAGGATGATTTATATGGACATGAACATTTAACAGTCAACGGAAATAAAAGTTTTAAAATAAGAATATTCGTCGTTATCAAATAATTATTGATAGAACTGTGAAACATTTTTCACTGCGAGTGCTTTTTATATTCTAGAAAAATGGGATACATTAGTTATGTTTGGGCGAATAGGATGTGTAAAACAAGTTTTAACACTATTGTTTGAGACCTTGAAACGATACAAGAAAAGAGAAGTTTGTTTCGTTGCTCAATTCAATATAATGTCGAATCGAAAAAAAATCTAAAATTAAGATTCTATAAAAAGATATTGATTTTTTTAAATGTTTATCACAGTTAAAAATGTATTTGTTTCCCCACGCAAAAGTGTTATAGTATCATATCGATATCAATGCAACATGTTTCGGACTAAACATCAGACACGCTAAAATGTTAAATTCTGAACTATTTTTAAGCTGTTGATAATATATGATAAATAGTTTATATTTAACGGATGTTGTCAAATGAAAAATATTTAAAGGAACTCCAACTTTACTTAAAATGTAAGTCGCAATTCACTAGCGAGATGTCTTCGTAGTTTTAGGTCTTTAGGAATCTCTTTAGTCGTCTGATATTTAATTATACCGATTGTGATAAAATAAACTCATCATAGATACCAAGATTATAATCTTGAACGCCAGACGCGCGTTTTGTCTACAAAAGACTCAATGACGCTCAAATCTAAAATTTAAAAAGGTAAAAAAAAAGTACGAAGTTGAAGAGTATTGAGGACTGAAAATTGGATTGATACCACTGCTAGTGTGCTTTAAGTCCCTGATGGTGTCATCAACCAAGTAGTCAGTGCTTCGGTATTGACATGATATTTTTGCAAACTTTTCTAAAACTTTCCGCTGAAAAATTCAGAAATGATAAAGAAACTAAGGTTTTGACTTCCTCAAGGAAAAATTATCTTAGGTGAATTAGGTTATTTTTAGGTCCCTTTTGATCATATAGCTATTTACATTTCCATGGTGAATTAATGAGGTTTAAACATCGATTTTTATTTCCTTGGTAAATTAATGAGGTTTAAACATCGATTTTTATTTCCATGGTGAATGAATGAGGTTTAAACATCGATTTGTATCCTTGGTAAGTAAATGTGGTTTAAACATTAATTCTTATTTTCTTGATAAATTGATGCGATTTAAACATCGATTTTTATTTCCTTGGTAAATTACTAAGGTTTAAACATCGATTTATTTCCTTGGTAATTTAATGAGGTTTAAACATCGGTACTCTACTGCTCTAATTTATCCATAAAACTATCAACACATCACTACAATAGATATATCCTAGTTCAGGGTAGGGTCAGAATTATCAATGCAGTTCAGATGAGGATGATTGCAATAAATATGTCCCAGTTTACGGTAGGTCAGACTTGTCAATGCAGTTCAGATGAGGATGATTGCAATAAATATATCCCAGTTTACGGTAGGTCAGACTTGTCAATGCAGTTCAGATGAGAATGAATGCAATAAATATGTCCCAGTTCACGGTAGGGTCAGACTTGTCAATGCAGTTCAGATGAGGATGATTGCAATAAATATATCCTAGTTCACGGTAGGGTCAGACTTGACAATGCAGTTCAAATGAGAATGATTGCAATAAATATATCCTAGTTAACGGTAGGGTCAGACTTGTCAATGCAGTTCAGATGAGAACGATTGCAATAAATATATCCTAAACGAACGATTAATTAAAACGGATAAGCCACACTTATTATACCGGTTTAGAAATATTACAGCTACATTTTCTATTTTAGGTATTTTTGCAACCTGTTGGTGACCTTCTGCTGTTGTCTGTTCTATGGTCGGGTTGTTGTCTCTTTGACACATTCCCCATTTCCATTCTCAATTTTAAAACGATTTCCTAAGAATATGACAACTGTTTTCCTCCTTTCGGAAGATTTCTACAATCATTTAATAAACATTTGCTTGTAATTGAGACTAATCATCGGTCTTTATGTGATTGATACTAATTAGCTTCCCCTTTATATATCATAATATGACACTATATATGTAAAATCATTCCCCACTTTATAAACGATATAAAAAAACCAAGCAAACTGTATTAATGTGTTTCTTAAAAAACAATATTATACTCACCTTTGTTGTCTCTAATATACAGTGACAAAAAATGACACAGCTACCACTTAAATCTAGAATATTCTCCTTTTAAGTAATGTAAATGTCCTTGTGCACTGGGCCGTGCATCAAACTCAAAACCTTGTGTAATTAAAACATGAATAAAAAATGTATAGGATCAATCAATACCTGTTTCTTATATTGAAAATTGTTTTAAAGGAAAATTGATCATACGGAATTAAAGTACGTGGAATTTGTTTTTTTACCTGTACATATATTCCAATACACCTTTGACAGATATTGCGAAGTCATTCATATCTGTATTTTTTTATTGTTTCTAAACATGACATGGTGTATTTGTTTATACAAGTTTAGAAGTAAGTGTACAAGGGTGTGTAAATAAGAAGCCTAAGCAGGTTAAACAAGATCATTTTTACACGGATTTCCTTCAAATGTCCTTTAGAAAATGAAAGGATATGGAGTAAATGTACATGGGACAAAATCGCACACAATACATAGAAAACATAGAAAATTATCAATGAACAGGGCTTTTATTCCTGTTCTTCATCTTGACAGTTGGTGTAGGGTCTTCAACAATGAACGATACATTCATACCCTATAAGGTCAAGACGGCCCCTAGCTTCGACTTAAGCGGTACTATTGATAAAAATAAACCACAGTTCACCTTCTTGCTCCCCACCCGCCTCGGAGTGCCAACTTGTGAGATGCTTGTGTACGACGGTTCTCCAGTCGAAAGCACCATGGATACAAGAAAAGTGCAGTAATTTTGAAAGACATCGATCGCCGCTTAAATATGCCTTGAAGTTACACATGTCGGGAGCGGTCAAAGAATTATATAATTTATAATTACGGGGTTTATTTTAAAGTCAAAGTCAAAGTCAAAGATTTTATTGATATAAAATCTAAAATCTGGATTATCATCAACATACAAACAAAGAACAAACTTTAATCATTATAATCAATTATATGTACATAAAATGGTAGTATATATGTTTAATATATCAATACAAAACATAAAAAAAATATAAAAAGATATAAAGAATTTTGTAATATTTTTCCCTTCTATATATTTGACTGAGAAGGTAGTTTCATTTAAAAGTAATACAACTTATATAATATATAACGTAAAATAACTTACGTTAATTAACGTCTAAACTTGTTTATCTCATTAATACCTTTTATGGAACCTTTACTGCCATCATAATCATTACTTCGAAATATGAGATGGAATTTTTCAATGTCTGAAAGATTATTGAAAGATGGTAAAATATCTGGAAAATTTAGAAAAACAATTATTCCTCAACTCATTGAGTTTGGTACATTTTATGGTGAAGTGTAATTCATCTTCAACTTCAAATTTACATAGGGGGCATAATCTGTTTTCTAAATGAATCTTTCTTTGTCTGCCTTTTTCAATCATAAGGATACTATTACTTATCCTGTTTCTTACAAAGTTTGAAATATCAGCTTTGTCTATATCAAATTTTTAAAAGTTCTCCATTTCACATTTCTTCTTCAAATCCTTGTAGGTTCTTAATTTGTTTCCTCTTTGATCAATAACATTTTTTTGAATGGAATGGTCCCAGAATTTTATAAAATCATTTTTCAGTTTTTTGTATATAACAAAAGTTAAACGATTTTTACTAAATGAATTTTGATTTCCCCAGACATGGTTAAATCAAACTTTTTCAAATAACATTTTCATTTGTATTCTATACCAGTCTGAGCTATTATAACACTTGATGGATAAATTTTATTGATTAAACCATCTGGATTTGAATTGACTACATGATGCCAGTAACCTACACAAAGTTTAGTAGCATCAACAAAACATGGGATGATACCCAATTCTAAAAAACTGCCAAATTTGATTCAGTTTTGTTAACTCCGAAGATGTACTTAGCAAATGAGATTTGTACTTTTACAAGTTGATATAAAAAATATCTAGACTTCATGGAAGCATTTTTTTTCAACAAAGTATCTAAACATAGAATTTCAATACAGTAAAGAAGTGTAGGTTTTACATATGAGTCAAATAATTTAAGATTTGGTTATTTTTATAAGTTCTTCCTCATTGGAGCAATAACTAATTAGTGCATTAAGCAGTGGAAGGATTAAGTATATAAATCATCGACTGGTCATTGATTAAAGTTAAATGGTTCATCTATTTAATGCAATGTTTAAAATATAATTACAGAAAGTTTTATTCATATTACATTGTTAATATTTTAAAGAACTTCAATTGATCATATACTGTTTCCTTTTTTCCTGTATTATGTGAGACAGAGAATTGGATAAATTCAATACTACTAAGAATAACATTTACAGTAACCAAGGTACTGTTTGAAATGCGCATGTCGACAATTAATGTCTTTTCAGTGATGCTCGAAGTCAAAATATGTCAAAATCGAAAACTTAATCAAACGTGGAAGAGCTGATAAACCAAAAAGTAACAAAATTATGAGCAAAATCAGACGAAGAATTACATTTTTGTATGTTGGAGATATATTCCTTAATTCAAAATAATTTCTAAAATTTTGAAACAGGAAATTTAAAAAGCACAATATCCGTATTATAATTGAAATAGGAAAATGGTGTTATTTTAGTATAAAACTAGAGATAAAATATTCAAACTCTATAATGAGGACTGAAATAGAAATATTTTAACATGTGAAGCTTTGTCTTTTGTTTGAAATCTCCTGCTTGGCAACATATTTTTGAAAAATTAAATGTTTTAAGAATTGATAACAAATCATCATAAGAATAATAGGAAATGAAGATAGGGAAATTCAGACAATTAGTTTTCAACCATAAGAAGTGTTAACTAAAATAGAAATACAATATTAAACTATATAATATTATCATTCATATAGTGGTATAGATATTCATATGCAATATATACATAAGATAAATAGAGGTGTACTGTCCAGTAAAGAAGTATAACAAAAATACCGAATTCCAAGGTAAATTCAAAAAGTTGTTGATAGAACCGTTATATTGACCTTAGACATAAGGTTTTATAGCTAACTAAACCTCCCACTTGTACTTTATTCTGGTCTTTTTAACGAATTTGAATCGAGTGTCACTGATGAGTCTTTTGTAAAGTAAACGCGCGTCTGGCGTAAAAAATGTTAAGCCTGGTATCTATGAAGGGTTTATTTGTATGATAATCTGGTCTTTCCACTTTTATGTAGAAAGACCTATTGGTTTTGTTCTGATTATTATTATTATTTTCTTCTTCCTCCACTTTTATTTCTTGCGTGTAAATTTTGTTTCGCAAGATGTCGTTTAGATGTTTGGTATATGATATCGCACAGTTTATGCATCTTTGAAATTGACCCTGCTTAACCGAATACTTTTCTATGTAGGAGTTATCTCCCCATACACTGTTTTTTTTTGTATCTCCTTCGTAACCAAAATAGATAACGACAAAATTCTTTTTCATATTTGTTCGTTATATCTTCAGGAATTTTTGGCTGATTTGGATGGAAGCAATCCGGTGAAATCTTATAGGAGTTATCTACCTTTACCAAATAAATTTGTCGTTATGTTTTATTAACTCATAAACCGTAAGCCGTATAAACCTTAAGTCTTTTTATTTGAGGTCCATGGGTCCTAACTTAGAAAATTAGGTCAAAGTTTAATGTCAAGGTCATGTTCTCAATTTTGACTTTTGCTTGTTTTATGCATTTTCTCTGACACTTTTAAAGTTATATATAAAAGAACTAGTGCAAAATGTTTGCTTTATTGTGATGAAGATATGATACATTTGGTCTGAAACAATCCACTGACAACTTAAAGGAGTTACTGCCCTGAAATGTTTTATTTAAAGGTAAATCGATTATTTCTTTAGATTGGTACATAATAAAGCCATAAGATCTTTTGAAAAAATGTTGGGTGACAAATGACCTTGAAAAATGTCAACCGGAGGTGTACTGGATTGAACCGGAAGTAGTAATTTTTGCACTTATTTCATGGAAAAGTACCTAGAAACCATATATTTTTTTAAATGGGCATACATAAACCTATCATTTGAGACTGGAAGTGAATTCTATAACCGGAAGTAGCAAATTATCTCCCTTATTACAGGCATAAGTATAGACAAACCATATATTTTTGGAATCGGTGTAAATAACGCTATCATATGAGACCGCAAGTGACATTTTCTTAACCGGTAGTTGACAATTATCTCCTTTTTTTCAGGCAAAAATATATAGAAACCATATGTTTATTGAATCAGTATGAAGAAACATATAATTGGATGTCAAAAGTAACTTTGAGTTAACCGGAAGTAGCTTCTTCTCAATCATTTAGAAAATTGATATTGAAAGACCTTCAATTGTTCTCTGAACAAATGGTTTTTAATTGTTTATAGTTCTGTTATATTGACAAAATTGGAATGTGTACTGATTGATACTTTAGTCTGGGAAAATTTATTGATTAGTTGTAATGGGCTTTGAATTACTGCGAGTACTCTTATGTCGGTATTTTGTGTCTTTTTTAGATGTGAGTTGTGTCTGTGCCTCGTAGCGATCTTTTGAGTATATCCAACTGCTTCTGATTTTTACAGTTTGTTCTTATGTTGTGCTTTTACACCACAGTACTAGGTAAGTGGAGGGTTGAGCGCTCACAAACATGTTTAATCCTGCCACATTCTTTATGAATGAATGAATGAATGAATGAATGAATGAATGAATGAATGAACAAACGAATGAATGAATGAATGAACGAACAAACGAATGAATGAATGAATGAATGAATGAATGAATGAATGAATGAATGAATGAATGAATGTTTAAATGATAGTAAATATTGTAAACACAACATATAGTATAGTGCTAGTATAATATATGCACTCTTCTGACAAATTGTTACGGTGACCTCGATATCACCTCCGATGATCGACTTTAAACTATAATATATGACAAACGTGATGACTTCCATCTTCCAGTCGTCAACTTCCTATTCCCCAGCAATAACATACCCTATGCTTATCGTATTGCATTTACTTATCTCAATTGATACGCTCGTGCCTGTTCATACTATACGGAATCGATTAACAGGGTCGTGCTCCTTACACATAAACCTGAAATTCACTTCACCATTGAAACATCCGAAATCTATATCTCTTTTATTGGGCATTTTGCTTTAATTTACATTGCAGTGTTTATGTGCATTCTTGTTTTCTTCTATGAACCAAATATTGATGAGTTCCACTATGCAGGAACCGCTTACTATTCTAGACCATTTATGTTATCTCTCTGCGGTTTTACTCTTTTTTGGTGTAATTTTTTGTTGCTCAGTTTTTAGTTCTCTGTGTGCTGTGCTTTATGACATTCTGGTACCTTCTTTCGCTATTTATTCATCTAAGTCAAAATATCCAAGTGGACAATATAAACAGCTCAGTTTTCATTAGACTTTTGTTTTGTACCCTTGGTATCATCCCTCTCTTTTCCACAATTCCTATTTCATAAATGTAATAGCACTTTCTATGCTAATAAAACACAACAATACTTCTGAGGTGGATTCGTTTTATTTCCGGACAAAATCAGGATGATAATCAATAACTAAATAAATACTATACAAAATGAATACAATAATTAGATTCTGACCATTTATCAAATCTTGAATTACATTCTTAACAAAGTAGTAATAAAAACTCTTATAATTTCCCATGCTCTATTGAAAGATAGACAACATAGTCTCATTAAAAAATGAATACTAAGCATGGACCAATGTCAAATTGTTCTAAATATTTGAAGAAATAAAACAAAACATCTGTTATTCGGTTTTTAAGGTTGTGAATTCAAGCATGAATGCAATTTGGGTACTCCTCAAATAATGTTACAGAATCATGGATCGTTTTGAGGTCGGTTGAAACCCATTTTTCTATGATTCAATATGGATTCAAAATGAAAATTGGTGTAACTATATAGAAAAAAAGGATACATCTACAAAATAAACACAAAATGGAAACTTTTGTCTGGATCATAAATAAAGGTAGGTGAAAAAACTGTCAAAATAAGTGCAATTTGGGTACCGCCACGTTAGCTGAGACAACATTTATCAGTAAATTATTACCAGTGAGTATAGTAAAGTAAAGTAAAGTAATCTTTATTTAAAGTCGGGTTGTATATATACATAATAACAAGGAACATGAGCTCTTAAGAGCTCTTCAACCGACTGATATTAAATAACAAAACATACATGTAATAACATCAGATACATTATACAACGCAAACATACATACAGCACATACATGTATTAATATATAGATAGCATAGTGTTGGTTTTAAAAGCTCTGACGAGCTTATGTTGCACTGTTGTATATTGATGAATGAAGCTTTTGAATAGATTTTTGATTGATTTCTTTGTAAGGTAACCCTAGTCCCAGGTGAGCGATATTTTACGAATCATTAGAATAAAAACTGCAATGCTAGTTTCCTTTTCCTGTCCTAAATGTCCCTAACGTTGAAAAATGTTTACAAAATTGTTTATGCTTGTTTTATTTAAGAACTGCTATTCACAAATTATAGATTATGAGGTAGATGATTCACAAGGTTATGGTAGACGATTTGATGGTATTGGTGCAATCAGTGGTGGAGGGGTAGGTAAAAATTCGATAGAATTTGGAAATTATTTCGCGCGAAAAAAGGGGAGTTGACGGCGAAAACATATCGCGGAGAATAGAAAAAAATACTTTTAACAGGTTTAACGTTAATCAAAAGGCATCGACAAATATAGCCGTATTTACCCCCCACAAAAAAATCCAAACTTTTTTACAGCCAAACCTGTGCATTCTTACTTTGTATAGGATCCTCATCCCTTCATAAATTTTATGGACGCTATCCTGAGTTGGTTGACCGTTATGGAATAACCGTTTCATAGATGATATCGGATATGTTCCTTATGTCGTAACTACAATACCCTTCCCTTTTCACGAATGTGACTTACCGAATTACACTATTTACTGGATTTGTAATAACATAAGCAACACGAAGGGTTCCACATGTGGAGCAGGATCTGCTTATCCTTCCAGAGCACCTGAGATCACCCACAGTTTTTGGTGGGGTTCGTGGTGCTTAGTCTTTAGTTTTCTATGTTGTGTCATCTGTACTATTATTTGTCAGTTTGTCTTTTTATTTTTGGCCATGGCGTTGTCAGTTTGTTTTCGACCTATGAGTTTGACTGTCCCTCTGGTATCTTTCGTCCCTCTTTCATGGTTCCTCTTCACCAGACTCATATATACACCTTATCCCTATTTGTCCGCCATTACTGGACATCACAAAGGTTTCCGTAAAATTTTGACGTCACAAAAGAAAATGTCTGACGCAACAATGGAAAAGTGATTGTTGTATGACATCAATAGTTCAAGTGTCGCAGATTCTCGGGTCAAGCGTCGCAGATTCCCAAATAGCGATAAGGTCTATTAAGTTTTGGTCTCTATAATTTCTGTTGCTGCTTCCGGTTAGATAATCAGAATAATAGATTTCTTCGTATTTCCAGTGCTTATCCAGTCTATTCTTAAAAGTGTTTATTGATGGAGCTTTTATACATTTATCTGGTAGCTTGTTCCATATTTTGGCGATTTTTACTGCAAAGCTATTTTTCCTCATACTTGTTTTAAATCGCTGATGAATGATTTTGTGACTATTAACTCTTGTGCTATGTCTATTTTCTGTGTTTGGTATTAATTTGAGAAATGTACTTTTATGTATGTTTCGGCAATAAAGTTTATCAACAGATTGTAGGTATTCCTATGGGCACCAATTGTGCCCCTTTAATAGCAGACTTGTTCCTTTACTGTTATGAATCACAGTTTATGGCCAATCTCAGTAAAGAACCGTCTAAATTCCATTTTATTGATAAATTCAACAACACTTACCATTATCTTGATGATATTTTTTCGTTTTCAAGAATTCTTTACCTATACTGCTGAAATTTACCCAAAGGAACTTACTTTAAATAAATCTAATATCAACAGCAATAACTGTCCTTTCCTAGATTTAGATATTTCAGTATTACACCAGAAACTTTACACAAAAATTTACGACAAAAGGGATGATTTTTCTTTCCCTATTGTTAATTTTCCCTTTTTGGACGGTGATGTTCCTTTGGCAGCGTCTTACGGTGTTTATATATCCCAACTCGTTTGCTATGCTCGTGTTTGTAGTGACTTTTTGGATTTTAATCAGCGTAATCTATGTATTACTAGTAAATTATTAAGTCAGGGATTTCGTTTCCACAAATTACTTAAAACCTTTACTAAATTCTTTCATAGATACAAAGATTTGGTCTGCAAGTTTGGCTGTACCTGTAGAAAACTAATTTCAAATGGAATAGCACATCCTGAATTTTACTGAGCCTGGAAATTTAGATACGATCCGGGTAAACTTATCAATCCTTTAAATAAACTTATTCTAAAAGGTTACCTATTCAACACTGTAAGTGTAATTAAATCTTTGAATATTGTTTTTAATGGTGTAAATATTGATTTTGTTATCAGTAAATTAAAACCATACTAAATATTATACATATGTACTTTCACGGTACTACAATCTGTCGATACTTATAGTTTGGCATTGCACAAGGTCATGTTTTTCTCTGACTGTTAATCATGTTAATGACATCTTAACACTAAATCCATTGGATGTCATGGATGTTGGATGTGTATAGATTGCTATTTTAGTCTTAGATACATGATTTTTATACGACCGCCAAAAAATTTTTGTAGTCGTATATTGGTATGACGTTGGCGTTGTCGTCGTCGTCATCGTCGTCAGTCGTCGTCGTCCGAAGACACATTGGTTTTCGCACTCTAACTTTAGTTTAAGGGAATGGATCTCAATGAAATTTTACCATAAGGTTCAATACCACAAAAGGAAGGTGGGGATTGATTTTGGGGGGTTTGGTACCCACAGTTAAGGGATTAGGGGCCAAAAAGGGGCCAAAAATAAGCATTTTTGTAACTTCCAGACATAACTTGTGTGTAAGTGTATGGATCTCTCTGACATTGTACCACAAGGATCCACATCACAAAGGGAATGCTGGGATTGATTTTGGGGGTAATTGCCGCCAAATTTTAGGAATTAGGGGCCAAAAAGGGGCAAAAAACAAGCATTTTTCTAGTTTCATGACAATAACTTGTGTGTAAGTGTATGGATCTCTCTGACATTGTATCACAAGGTTCCATATCACAAAGGGAATGCTGGGATTGATTTTGGGGGTAATTGCCTCCAAATTTTAGGAATTAGGGGCCAAAAAGGGGCAAAAAACAAGCATTTTTCTAGTTTCATGACAATAACTTGTGTGTAAGTGTATGGATCTTTATGAAATTGTACTACAAGGTTCCATATCACAAAGGGAAAGATGGAATTGAGTTTGGGGGTAATTGCTCAAAAAATTTAGGAATAAGGGGCCAAAAAGGGGCAAAAAATAAGCATTTTTCTAGTTTCCAGACAATAACATGTGTTCAAATGTATGGATCTCTCTGAAATTGTACTGCAAGGTACCATACCACAAAGGGAAGGCTGGGATTGATTTTGGGGGTAATTCCTTCAAAATTTTAGTAATTAGGGGCCATAAAAGGGCAAAGAAACAAGCATTTTTCTAGTTTCAGGACAATTACTTGTGTGTAAGTGTATGGATCTTTATGAAATTGTACTGCAAGGTTCCATATCACAAAGGGAAAGCTGGGTTTGAGTTTGGGGGTAATTGCCCTAAATGTTTAGGAATTTGGGGCCAAAAAGGGGCCAAAAAACAAGCATTTTTTCTAGTTTCCAGACAATAACTTGTGTTCAAGTGTATGGATCTCTCTGAAATTGTACTGCAAGGTACCATATCACAAAGGGAAAGCTGGGATTGAGTTTGGGGGTGATGAATCATAAGGGGGTTCAAAAAATTGGGGGGGATTTTTTTTTTCCTTTTTTTTCTTTAAAATTTTCCATTTTAAATTGGTTATTTCTGATTTATATATAAAAGCAAATAATAATGATATGGTTTGAATTGGTAAATTAAAAATTTTTAAGTTCTTAGACCACTTTCATTCTGTGTGAGAAACCTATGCTGTGTCAAATATTTAATTACAATCCAAATTCAGTGCTGTATCAAGCTTGAATGTTGTGTCCATACTTGCCCCAACTGTTCAGGGTTCGACCTCTGCGGTCGTATCAAGCTGCGCCCCAGCAGAGCATTTTATTTTCATTAGTTGTTATTGGCTTTGAACTAGCTGTCAGTAACTGCGAGTACTCTCAGATCTGCACTTAGTGTCTTTTTGTTTTTGGGATGTATAAGTACCCGTCCACGTCCACTTTGTGTTTTTGTTAGATGTATTTTTCTATTTGTATCCATCTGATGAGTTAAGCCTTTTTCAACTGACTTTTATAGTGTGTTCTTATGTTGTACTGTTACACCACTGTCCCAGGTTAGGAGGAGGTTCAGCGCTCACAAACATGTCTAACCCCGCCACATTCTCTATGTGCCTATCCCAAGTCAGGAGCCTGTAGTTCAGTGGTTGTCGTTGGTTCATGTCTGTCATATTTGTTTTTTCGTAAACTGTTTTGTTATAAATTAGGCCATTAGTTTTCTCAATTGAATTGTTTCATATTTTCATGTCGGGGCCTGTTACAGCCGACCAAACGGTATGGGTTTTTTTCATTGTTGAAGGCCGTACGGTTGCCTATAATTGCTTACATCCACTTCATTTGAACTTTGGTGGATAGTTGTCTCATTGGCAATCATACCACATCTCCTTACTTTATATTGTTACTGGATCATATTTTCCATTTAGTATCTTATATGTCTCAATCATGTCCCCTCTGACTCTTCCATATGATAGCGTCAGTAACCTAAACTTCTTCAATCTTTCTGGGTAACTTAATTTGTTGAAACCTGGTATCTGTCGTGTCTCTCTTTTTTGTACATTCTCGATTTTATCTATATATTTCTTTTCAAAAGGTGCCCATACTGAGCTAGTATAGTCATGTGTGTTCTCACAAATGTTATTTATAGTGGAAGGAAAATTTATAAAGCATTTAGATTTTTAAAAGATCTTCTTAGTGCAGCAAAAATTAAATTGGCCGTATTTACTTTCACATATATATGTTTGTCAAATGATAGATTTTCATCTATGACCACACCTATATCCTTCTCTTCTTTGCATCTGCTAATCTTTTGACCTAATACATTTGTAGGTTGTATATTGTGCTATTGTCCATTGCAGTTCTACTTGTATTAATATATTTACATTTTTCAGGGTGGAATTTCATGAGCTATGTATTTCACTATCACTCCATTTTTTCTAACTGCTTTAAATCATTTTGTAGTATATCTTGGTCAGTTTTATCTTCTATGATCCTGAAAATTAAGTGTCATCAGCAAATAAGTAGGCATCTGAGTTAACACAGTCTGGCAGGTCATTTATGTAAAAAACAAATAACAGGGGGCCTAATACTGAACCTTGGGGATATTCCTGATGTTACCTCCTTCCAGTCAGAGGTTTCACCTTTCACTGAAAATCTTTGTTTTCTTTATTTTAGAAAATCTGAAATCCAGTCTAAGATTGGATTAGTTATCCCAAATTTTTGAATTTTCTTAACGAGTCTCCTGTGTGATACTTTGTTGAAGGCTTTCATGAAGTCTGCATATATACACATCTTATGGTGTTTATATATCTCAACTTGTTCGATTCGCTCGTGTATGTACCAATGTTTTTGACTTTAACGAAAGAAATCTCTGTATTACTGAAAAATTAGTTTTATAGTGGCATTTTTGCGCCTGTCCCAAGTCAGGAACCTCTGGCCTTTGTTAGTCTTGTATGTTTTTTTTAATTTTAGTTCTATTATATGTTTTCGGAGTTAAGTGTGACGTCCATTTTCACTGAACTAGTACACATTTTTGTTAAGGGGCCGGCTGAAGCCCGCCTACGGGTGCAGGATTTTCTCGCTGTGTTGTAGACCCATTGGTGGCCTTGGGCTGTTTTCTGCTCTTTTGTCAGGTTGTTGTCTGTTTGACACATTCCCCATTCCCATTTTCAATTTTATTATGCAATCTACCTGATATCCATTATCTAAGGCTTCTGGAAACGTTTTGAGATACCGTTGTTGATATCCACAAAATATGCTAAAATTGAATTATTCTTCGCAAAAGTATGAGATGTGCCTTAGATGTCATAATATAGTAAATTGCATTGATTGATTGGACGATAGAGAGACAATAGATATCCAGGGGCAGATTCAGATGCCTTCCCTTATTAAAAGATAAAAATGTGTAATTTATAGGTAAAATTACAGCCAATTTTCTGTCAAAATATGGTCCTCTAACTTCAAATTTTCTGGACTGCCCCCCTACCATCAAATCCTGGATTCACACCTGTATATCTGCAGATCAATAGATGATTTAAATTGTGTAAATGAGTGGACTGTATCTAATGAAATTCAGTCGTTAGTTTGTTTTATTATCTTCTGTAGGGTTAAGGTTCATCACTACAAATAGACAAAAAGGCTGTTTTTACACCTCAAAAATTATTCGAGAATAGACAAACCTATGCAGATGGATACATTTTAAGGCCTAGTATCCACTAGACATATATATGAAAAGATTAAAAAATATATGAAAAGATTAAAAAAAAAAAGAAAGGATTTTGATTGGCATTTTTTTATCATCACTGCAGACAATGGTTCATGTAAAATAAACAAACGCCTGAATTTCATTTGATACTGTCCTATCAGTTATACTGTATAAATCTCCTACTGTAAAATAATCAAACACCTGAATTTCATTTGATACTGTCCACTCAGTTATACTTTTTAAATCTCCTTCTGTTGTGTTGTCAAAGAAAATTAATTCATCAAGGAAATTCATGTCAGATATTCCTCAGTTTATATTTTTATATTGGATTCAAATTTGCTGAAGTCTGATACAGATTTTTCAAAGGCAAAACTCTAAACAGAGGTGCCACACACAGTCCTTATAATGGAGTAAAGGGGGCATTATTATGGAGTAAAGAGGGAGTCGTCAAAAGGTGTCATTATGGAGGAAAGGGAGAGTCATTAAAAAATGTCATTATGGGGAAAAGTGGAGGTGTCAAAAGGCATCATTATGGAGGAAAGGGGAGGTGTCAAAATGCTTCATTATGGAGGAAAGGGGAAGGTGTCAAAAGGTGTTAGTATGGAGGAAAGGGTGAGATGTCAAAAGGCATCATTTTGGAGGTAAGGGTTAGGTGTCAAAAGGTGTCAGTTTGGAGGAAAGGGTGAGGTGTCAAAAGGTGTCAGTATGGAGGAAAGGGTGAGGTGTCAAAAGGTGTCAGTACAGAGGAAAGGGTGAGGTGTCAAAAGGTGTCAGTACGGAGGAAAGGGTGAGGTGTCAAAAGGTGTCAGTATGGAGGAAAGGGTGAGGTGTCAAAAGGTGTCAGTATGGAGGAAACGGTGAGGTGTCAAAAGGTGTCAGTATGGAGGAAACGGTGAGGTGTCAAAAGGTGTCAGTATGGAGGAAAGGGTGAGGTGTCAAAAGATGTCAGTATGGAGGAAAGTGTGAGGTGTCAGAAGGTTTAAGTATGGAGGAAAGGGTAGCCAGTAAAGGTGGAGTTGACAGAAGGTGTCATTAGGGAGGAAAGTAGAGTCATTAAAAGGCATCATTATGGAGGAATGGGTGAGATGTCGATAGGAAAGGATAGGAAAGGGAGTGGTCTCAATAGGCGTCAATATAGAGGAAAGGGTGAGATGTGAAAAGGCATCATTATAGAGGAAAGGGGGAGGTAACAAAAGGTGTCAATATATATGGCGTAATGAATAAATATATAGATAAATGATAATTTTTTTTTTTTATGCCCCCGCCGTAGCAGGTGTAATACCACCAAATCATAGTACGTCACATCCGGTTGCATACGAAAATAGGTCGAAAAAAAATATTCCCTTGAATTTGACAGTTGTAGGTAATTGATCCTACATTTCATTGCAGTAAAACATTTCTGGGTCATAAACATATATCTTGGGTATTTCAAAGCACCATTATTTTTTTATTTGGGGTTTCTATAGAATATTTTGGAAACTTGAGGTTACATGGTTACTAAAGCTTGTACACAGGTTAAGAAAGGGGGGAAATTTGATTGGTTAACTTCCAGTGATGGTTATTTTCTTATATGCAATGAAATGTTATGTGAATTTTTTTCTATAGTACTGGACAGGATAAAACTTTACTCATGCCAAGTATTTCTTTATTTGAAACACAGATAAATTCTGCACAATTTTTTGAAAAGTGCAAATTTAACAAAGACTAATAGGGGAAAATCAATGGTGGTATTACACCTAATAGAGGGGGCATTAAGTTTTACCGTTGTTCGTCTGTACGTACGTACGTACAAACCTACGTACGTACGTACGTCCCAAAATTGGTTTCCGTTCTCCAACTTTAGTTTGCCTCAATTAAATGTTATGAAACTTATACACAATGCTCATTACCACAAAACACAGATCAAGTTTGAATTTTGGTGGCGTCACTTTTACTGTTCTAGAGTTATGCCCCTTTACAAATGGAAAAAATGCTGAATTTTTCGTTTCTGTTCTCTAATTTTAGTTTGCCTCAACCAAATGTTATGAAACTTATACACAATGCTTATTACCACAAAACACAGATCAAGTTTGAATTTTGGTGGCGTCACTTTAACCGTTCTAGAGTAATGCCCCTTTAGAAATGGAAAAATTGCAAAATTTTTATTTTCTTCTCAATATCAATTTATTTTTAAAATTGGAGTTATCTTCCTTTGTCCATGATTATAGTTGAATCAACTACAATCAATGCTTTATACAATGCAATGTTTAATTTTGACTTCCACTGATAAAACACAGATCAAGTTGAATTTGGGTAGTGTCACTTTAACCATTATTGAGTTATGCCCCTTTATAAATCGAAAGATTGCAAAATTTTTAGTTTCCATTCTGTAACTTAAGTTTGTCCCAACCAAACATTATGAAACCTATACACAATATTCATTACCACAAAACTAAGATCAAGTACAAATTTTTTGTTTCCGTTTTCCAACTTTAGTTTGCCTCAACTAAATGTTATGAAACTTATACACAATGCTTATTACTACATAATACAGATTAAGTACGAAATTTGGTGGCGTCACTTTTACCATTCTTGAGTTATGTCCCTTTATAAACATAAAAATTGCTGAATTTTTCGTTTCATTTCTCTAACTTTAGTTTGTCTCAACCAAATGTTATAAAACTTATACACAACCGTTCTAGAGTTATGCGTGTTTACAAATAGAAAAATTGATGAATTTTTAGTTTCTGTTCTCTACTTAAGTTAGCCTCAACCAAATATTATGAGACTTACACACAATGCTTATTACCACAAAACTCAGATCAAGTTCAAATTTGGGTAGCGTCAATTTTACTGTTCTTCAGTTATGTCCCTTTATAACTATATGATATGCACTATCTACATTTATTCTCATTTGCATTTTCTCCGACAAATGAGACTGTAATAATGCGTGGTCCCCTTAGTTGCTTCCCTGGACAACTTAGGGTTTATGTAACAGGTGATGATTAATAAAGTATGCTTAATATTAAAAAAAAAGGTGTCAATATAGAGGAAAGGGGAATGTGGAGGAAAAGGCTAACATTAAGGAAAGAGGATGGAGATCTAAAGAATCAAGTGAAACCCTGACATATGATCATGTTCTGTTGTCTTTTGTTATGTTTGTTGTATCTTAAATTTAGTGTTGATGGGAAATTTATGAAATTTTGAGATTATGACAGTCCTGGCACTCCATATATGATTTACCTATGTACAAAATGAAGTACAATCTAGTTGAAGATCTCTTAATTGGTACTCCAAATAACCAATGTTCTTTATAAATATATTTTAACTACACTTACATGTATGTTCACTGGTGTTAATATGTCCTTTGATTGAGTTAAGCCATTTCAGTTGATATTTTATAGTGTGTCTTTCTATGTTGTGATGTTACACTATTGTTTCAGGAAAAGGGTGAAGGTTTGGTACCATTAAAACATTTAAACCCGCTGCAATTGTTTGCACCTGTCCTAAGTCAGGAATCAGATGTTCAGTAGTTGTCGTTTGTTGATGTGGTTCATAAGTGTTTCTCGTTTCTCGTTTTTTATATAGATTAGGCCGTCGGTTTTTCTGTTTGAATGGTTTTACACTAGTAATTTTTGGGGCCCTTTATAGCTTGCTGTTCGGTGTGAGCCAAGGCTCCGTGTTGAAGACCGTACTTTGACCTATAATGGCTTATAAATTTTGACTTGGATGGAGAGTTGTCTCATTGGCACTCATACCACATCTTCTTATATCTATTTACAGTTACTCTGTAAAAGAAGTCTAGTGAAAACTCTGTTTCCTGCCTAAACTTAGTGAAAACATATATGGTTTTGTTTTAAGACATTTATGTGGATGATACACTTCTTTTATAGAATATTACTACAGAAACATTACATTTTCTGAATAATAAACTTTCTTCTTTTTATTTTTATAGGCAACATCATTACTAGTTAGACACTATCCAACCAAACTAAGAGATGAAATACTGGATTATTTGTTTAAGGTAAGATAAATTTGATTTTGACATCTTACTCATCAGTTTTAGGGGACTTTGTATTGCACAATGCTTCATCTGCATGTGTTTACTCAAAATGAAGGAGCACTTGACTTATCTGTTGCATACTATTTTCATTGCTTAGTCAAGTGTACATATATATTGAAAATTACTATAATACCTACTCTTACAATCTTTTGACAATGATCATCAAAAATAAATTTATTTCACAATTCTTTCAATTAAATGGGGAAATTTTTGCTCATACACATGAAATAATGCAAAAATTCATCATATTTCATAAAATATTAATGCTTTTGGAAGAAATTTATGTATCTTGACACTGTTCCCACTCTACTGGTACTCTTCCCTTACTCTACAACAAAAACCAGTCACAACAGAGTATTAGATAGCTCACCCCAAGGACAACTCAGACCGTCTATAAAAAAGAACTCAGACCTTCCTTAAGACCATGGCTGATGTATTATTTTATTGATTTAAAAACTTATTTAAAAGGCAATAAAACAACCCCGTCCATACAACCTTCAACAATGAGCAAAACCAATAAGCTAACTAATTGTATGCCATAAAAGGCCCTGGCATCATGACAAAATGTGTAACAATTTAAATGGGAAGCAAGCTAATTTATGCTGAAACATTAAACCAAAAGCAAAGACAACAAAATTGTTTTGTATGTGTTTTGCTCATTGTTGAAAGCCGTACGGTGACCTATAGGTGTTAACTTCTACATCATTTGGTCTCTGGTGGATAGTTGTCTCATTGGCAATCATGCCACATCTTCTTACTTTTAAATTGATAAAACTCTAGATGTCTTTTGATTGTTTTTTATTCAGCATTACTGTTTCATTAAGGTACATTGTATATAGATATAAGAAGATACCCACATTTCCTTTCATTTTTAGATTCTAGATTCTAGATTATTTATTTCTTATAAAACCAAGTTAATGGTACAAAGAAAGATATTTTTACATATAATAACATACAGATTTTGCACATGACAAGTTTGTACAAAACCAGCTTAAAAAGATTAGAGATTAATGATCAACCTGGGGAACTTACTTCTTATGAAACTGCATATTAAAAATGCATAACTTATATAGCTTATCTCATTACATGACTTAACTCCCTTAATAATAATCCTTGAAAGACAGATTAAATTAAAAATTGAAAGTGTGATTACAGCTGGTGATTGCTTACAATTATTGAATATTCCACCTTTTTATGCCACCGCCGTAACAGAGGGGGCATTAAGTTTTACCCTTGTCTGTCTGTCCGTCTGTCTGTCCGTCTGTACGTCCCGAAATTGGTTTCCATTCTCTAACTTTAGTTTGCCTCAACCAAATGTTATGAAACTTATACATAATGCTTATTACCACAAAACACAGATCAAGTTTGAATTTTGGTGGTGTCACTTTTACAGTTTTAGAGCTATGCCCCTTTACAAATGAAAAAATTGCTAAATTTTACATTTCCGTTCTCTTAACTTAAAAGTTTGCATCAACCAAATGTTATGAATCTTATACACAATGCTTATTACCACAAAAATCAGATCAAGTACGAATTTGCGTAGCATCACTTTTACCGTTCTTGAGTTATGTCCCTTTTTAACGTTGTATGCAAGCGGGGGCATCATCTGTGTCCCATGGACACATTCCCCATTTATTTTTTAAAAGGTTATCTATTGACCATGATATTTTACTGATATTGAAATCTTTTGGTGTTTTTATTTCAGCCAAACTTTGGAGCAAGTTTGCAAATTCTGAAAGTAGAGATTGGAGGTGACTCTCAAAGTGGAGGTTAGTTTTTCTGTCAGATTGATGAACAATTCAATGTTTTTATCATGTTTTTTTAAGCTCATTAATGTTACATCAAGATAATCTCCAGCTTGAGTTTTGATGTAAACTGTTGATCAATAAACAAAAAAATCTACTTAAAAAAAAAATGTCGCCTTATGATGTTAAAAATTCAAACTTTATTATCCCACTAAATGTCTATAAACAAAAACTTCCTCAATCTAAAAAAAAATGTCTTTTGAAGGTGTTAAAATTTCAAAAAATTTAATTAAATTGTTAAAAAACTGTGTTCACTAGAGTTACAGAGTGAAACATCATAGCTAGGATTCATTTGATTGCACTGAACTAGTGTATACAGAACAAATGGATAATACCAAACTAGTGTATACAGAACAAAACGATAACAGTGAACTCATGTTTACAGAACAAAAGATAACACCTAACTAATGTATACATAACAAAATGATGACACTGAACTAATGTATACAGAATAAAACAATGACACTGAACCAATGTATACAGAACAAAACGATGACACTAAACTAATGAATACAGAACAAAACATTAACACTGAACTAATGTATACAGAATAAAAAGATGACACTGAACTAATGTATACAAAACAATGACAATGAACTAATGTATACAGAATAAAATGATGACAATGAACTAATGTATGCAGAACAAAACAATGACAATGAACTAATGTATACAGAATAAAACATTGACACTGAACTAATGTATACAGAATAAAACAAAACAATATAAACACTGAACTAATGTATACAGAACAAAAGTTAACACAGAACTAATGTATACATAACAAAAAGGTAACACTGAACTAATGTATACAAAACAAAACACTGACACTGAACTAATGTATACAGAATAAAACAATGACACTGAACTAATGTATACAGAATAAAACAATGACACTGAACTAATGTATACAGAACAAAACAATGACACTGAACTAATGTATACAGAACAAAACATTGACACTGAACTAATGTATACAGAATAAACATTAACACTGAACTAATGTATACAGAACAAAACAATGACAATGAACTAATGTATACAGAATAAAAAGATGACACTGAACTAATGTATACAGAACAAAACAATGACACTGAACTAATGTATACAGAATAAAACAATGACACTGAACTAATGTATACAGAATAAAACAATGACACTGAACTATAATGTATACAGAACAAAACAATGACACTGAACTAATGTATACAGAACAAAACATTGACACTGAACTAAGGTATACAGAATAAAAGATTAACACTGGACTAATGTATACAGAACAAAACAATGACACTGAACTAATGTATACAGAACAAAACAATTACACTAAACTAATGTATACAGAACAAAACAATAACACTGAACTAATGTATACAGAACAAAACAATGACAATGAACTAATGTATACAGAACAAAAGGATAACACTGAACTAATGTATACAGAACAAAACAATAACACTGAACTAATGTATACAGAACAAAACAATGACAATGAACTTATGTATACAGAACAAAACGATAACACTGAACTAATGTATACAGAACAAAACAATGACAATGAACTAATGTATACTGAACAACACAATAACACTGAACTAATGTATACAGAACAAAACAATAACACTGAACTAATGTATACAGAACAAAACAATGACAATGAACTAATGTATACAGAACAAAACGATAACACTGAACTAATGTATACAGAACAAAACAATAACACTGAACTAATGTATACAGAACAAAACAATGACAATGAACTAATGTATACTGAACAAAACGATAACACTGAACTAATGTATACAGAACAAAACAATAACACTGAACTAATGTAAACAGAACAAAACAATGACAATGAACTAATGTATACAGAACAAAATGATAACACTGAACTAATGTATACAGAACAAAACAATAACACTGAACTAATGTATACAGAACAAAACAATAATACTGAACTAATGTATGCAGAATAGAACGATGACACTGAACTAATGTATATAGAATAAAACTATGACGCTGAACTAATGTATACAAAATAAAACAAAACAATATTAACACTAAACTAATGTATACAGAACAAAAAGGTAACAGTGAAATAATGTATACAGAACAAAACAATAACACTGAACTAATGTATACAGAACAAAACAATGACAATGAACTAATGTATACTGAACAAAACGATAACACTGAACTAATGTATGCAGAACAAAACAATAACACTGAACTAATGTAAACAGAACAAAACAATGACAATGAACTAATGTATACAGAACAAAACAATGACAATGAACTAATGTATACAAAATAAAAGGATGTCACTGACCTAATGTATGCAGAATAAAACAAAACAGTTACACTAAACTAATGTATACAGAACAAAACAATAACACTGAACTAATGTATACAGAACAAAACAATGACAATGAACTAATGTATACAGAACAAAATGATAACACTGAACTAATGTATACAGAACAAAACAATAACACTGAACTACGGTAATGTATACAGAACAAAACAATAACACTGAACTAATGTATGCAGAATAGAACGATGACACTGAACTTATGTATATAGAATAAAACTATGACGCTGAACTAATGTATACAAAATAAAACTATGACACTGAACTAATGTATACAGAATAAAACAAAACAATATTAACACTAAACTAATGTATACAGAACAAAAAGGTAACAGTGAAATAATGTATACAGCAGTGAATTAATGTATGCAGAACATTTGATAACATTGAATCATGAATATGACTCATGAGTATGAAAAAAAAACTTTTATTGAGTCACATTGAGTCCGAAAGTCCTGGAATCAAAATACATAAATTTTTGTAAGCATCAAAACCATCTAAACAGAAAACCCAAAACAGTCCACGGACAAATTTGTCATAAGACAATGTAACTTTCGTATTTGATCCATTACATAATATTATACTGAAAATTTTATCAAATGTATTGCCAATGTCATGGCAATACCAGTGTTTCCAAAGTTCTCAGATTTTTATTGGACATTTGGTCCTGTTCATATTCAATCTTTAAGGACCAAGCAATTTTTTACTAGGCAATTGATAGACAAAATGATGTTCAAACTCTTATTGGGCTTTGGTCCTGTAAGGAACCACATTTCACTAGATTTAACCATATTTAATCAGACTTTTTACAATGTCAGACAAACCCTAGAATGACTGTCATAATCTTCTTACAGAAGGCAGTGAAGCGTCACATATGCACAACAGCTGGGATGAGAATTACTACAGAGGATATGAATGGTGGATGATGAAAGAAGCTAAAAAAGTAAAAACCTGTCTTAACACATATATAATGTGGATGTATTTATTATTCATGGGTACCAATTGTCATGGTTTGGATAACAATTGTTTATGAGGATATTACATTCCCTGATTCTAGGGTATACTTCCATTAAAAGTTCATTTGAAGGATACTCACACAAACATTGAAAAAAATGCAATGATTTTCTATAGTATCCCTGACTAATAAGACAAATTTAGTAAAACTTCATAGGATTTTAAAGGTAAAGCAAGTGTATATCAAATTGCTTATTTAGGCAGTAAAAGTAGAAAAAAAAAACTAAGTTAGAAGTACTATTTAAATATAACAAAAACATAATTGAAAAAAAAAAGATTTTCTTTTGTAAAAATCCTTGCATTTGTTGAATATGAATATAAAATATAAAGTTGTATGACATTAGAGGAGTGAAATTATCGGTTTTTATTTCACTAGAAAATCACATTTTATTGCAAACAATGTAATAAAAGAAAATACCTGAAAAATAACTTAGCTAAAGAAAAGACTGATCAAAATCATAAGGTATAATTATGATTCAAAGGAGCTGTCTTAAATGATGATCTGCTACTATTAAAAAATCTTGAAAAGTCTTAAAAAGATATATGTTTTTTTTAACATAAGTTCCATAGTAATACTAGTAATATATTGTCATTAATACCATTGTAGAGGAATCCAGATATATTACTGTATGGGTTACCATGGGGATGGCCAGGCTGGATAGGAAATGGAACACACAATCCCTATTATAATGTCAGTACAACAGCTGTATACATAATCAAGTGGATACAAGGGGCCAAGAAATACCATGACTTAGATATTAATTTTGTTGGGGTACTATTACTGATTGTTAAATAGTGATGTTATTATCATAATAGAATTTATTTATACATAATAGGAATGAAGGAAGACACTTTTAAATAAAGAGAACATTTAAAGAAGGAAATTCTGGATGAATATGGGATGTGTCCAGTAAACATTATTGAGACAATGACCTGACATCACAATCATGACAATCAACAAAATGAAGTTCATTTAGTTGTCAGCATATGATATGCTGTGCTGGGCAAGCATTATACTATATGTTAAATTTTCCCAAAGTCAGAGTAGACTTCATATGATATGTTAAGTAAAGTTCTCCCAAAGTTAGAGTAGACTTTATACCATATGTTAATACTTTCTCATCAAGTCAAAGATATTATAAGCAATAAGTCACCTATATTGGTTTATGAAAGGATTGTAAGGTGTACATGTCTGTCTCACAGGTTTCATCTGACCATAGCCTCATTCTAATGGTTCATTTATATATGTTCAATTTTCATAATTAGGTATTATGAGATACACTATTTTAAAGGCTAACTATATTTGGTGCATGGTATGGTTGTAAGGTGAATATTTCTGTTCATCTGGCCTTGACCTCATTGTCATCGATCATTGATAATGAAAAAATTTTATGTGATACTTGTAGTAAAGCTTTCATGTTACAGACTTTCAACATAAAGGTGAAGGTTTACGAAGGGTTAAAATTGGCCCTGATTATTTGATGTTTTTTAAATCAGGCTGAAATACTACTAATTTCACAAAGAAATAGTTGTGATATTACTATTAAAACAAAATAACTTCATTTTGGCACATCACATTAAAAATGACAAAGTATTGACTCCTTAAGTATACATTATTTGTGTTGTAACGTCAGTTTTGGTCAAATTTTCAATAATTCTTAGCAGTTTTTTGCATAATTTTCTTCAATCGCCACCCATGATCCAGAAAGTTTTAATGTCTAGGGATTCAATATCATCATTGGCCACTTTTGGTTACAGAACATTTTGGATCCTATGTTGTGGCCAAGGGGTTTCTCAAGCTTTTAGGTCCAAAAAGTCTAGCAGGCGAGTCAGTTCAGCATGTTTTTGTACTTTTTTTGTTTGTTTAATAAAACATAAGCTTTATAACATTTTTACATTGAATAAATTGGAGAACAGCAAGTAAACTGTTGTAGACAAAAGAAGTCATACTTGATGTATCTTTGAAAATGATAAACAAATAACAGAACCCCATAGTTCTACAAAATGAAAAGTAGCTCAGGAGATATAAATATTTATTTTTTACATGTTTTTTTCAGATATGGAATGAATTATCTTATAGTATTGAGTATATCAAGGTAATATATATCAAGTATATCTTATTGTATTAGTTTATTAATAAAGGATCACCTGTGATAAGTTGAATCAAAGACATATAAAACAAGAGATCGTCAACTCCATTTAAAGGCCATATAATCAGTTAAAATATCATGAGGCTCTCTTATTATTTTTCAAACTTTTGACATATTCCTCCTCTTTTTAATTTTTATGCCCCTGCAATAGGCAACTGGGGAATTGATTGTTAACTTTGACAGTCCTTCCGTCCTTTGGATTGTCCGTCCTTCCTTGCATGCCATTTTCGTTTCCACACTCTAACTTAAGTTTTCTTCATCCAACTTTTATGAAACTCGTACCAGTGCAAAGAACCACAACACACAGATAGTTTTTGGGCAGTGAGTCATTTACCCTTTTAGAGTTATGCCCCTTTTTAACTTAAAAAATTGCAAAGCTTGATCTGGGGCATTTGTGTCCTCAGACACATTCTTGTTTTATTTCTCATGTTTAGAATTTGTCTGTGTACAGATACAAATACTTTATTAAACCGACAGACATAAGTAAAGAAACAATAATGGTAATAAATAAATAAATAAAGCAGTTGTTTCCTTATTGAAAAACATTTATAACAAATCAAAGCTATAATATTCCATATTTCTTCAAATAAATCTGTTTTCTGTTTCCATAAGAAAATGAATATGTATATATATAGGATTGAAAATTTTTTTTAAAATAAAGATTTAATGGACAATGAGTCAAACATTGATATCAAGTATTGAAAATTCAGCAAAAAAATGAAAAAATACTGTAGATCCCTTGTGACAAGGTGACCTTAGTTTATATTAATGACATGTTTATTTTGTAGACTTTAAGAAGACTATTAGATCAGAATGGATTACCCAATGTTAAGATAGTTGCTGTTGATGGAGGATTTGAGATAGTTAACGATATGCTACATGATCCTGAGCTGTCTAATGCTATAGAATACATTGGGTAAGGTGTATATCTTTGAGGCTTTAAGTAAGAGATGTGATATGTTTATGACTTATGGTCTTTGATTGCACCATCAGTATCCTCCAGGCTTAGTTGAAGTTGTATGTTTGATGGTCTGGAGTGAATCTGTTGCTATTAAATACATTGGTAAAGGAAGTCTCATATCATTGATGCATTAAATTGGCATGGGGATGTGGTATACTTGATAGATTTTGGCATATTTATGTCTAACGAATACATGTGGTACGGAAGTCTTATATTTTTAATGTGTGTACCGCCTCATTGGTCTCATTGTAGAATGTTTGCCTTGAGTTTGGGAGGTGGTGGGTTTGATCACCTGCCAGGTGAACCGGACTCGAAAATTGGTATTTGCTGCTTCTTCGCTAAATACGAGGCATTTAGGAGGAAGAGCAAAGACTGGTTGGCTTAGAGTCAGAATAATATGTGAGGGCAGGGTGATTTGTTGGTCTAGTACAGAGCAGGGTTTACATTCATATCACAGTAGCATGTTCTTGTCCTGAATATGCATTTAACTTGCCACTGGACATTAAATATCTATTCATCCATCAATCCATCCATCCATCTTTGATATGTTACAGAGCTGTCCAGTAATAATGAATAGACAAGATCCTGAAAATTAAAATTGAGAATGGAAATGGGGAATGTGTCAAAAAGACGACAACCAGACCAAAGAGCAGAAAACAGCCGAAGGCCACCAATGGGTCTTCAACACAGTGAGAAAATCCCGCACCCAGAGGAGGGCTTCAGCTGGCCCCTAAACAAAAATGTGTACTAGTTCAATGAAAATGGACGACACACTAAACTCCAAAACATATAATTAAACTAAAATTAAAAAACATACAAGACTAACAAAGGCCAGAGGCTCCTGACTTGGGACAGGCCCAAAAATGCGGCGAGGTTAAACATGTTTTGTGAGATCTCAACCCTCATATATATATATATATGAGCTGTTAGTTTTGAGAATGATATTTTAGGTTATTTTGAACCATGTTTTATCTAATTATACAGGTGCAGCCATGGTTAACTCCCTAAAATCATAAAAAGGTTTTTTATAGACTCAAAACAATGCACAAAATCTATTTAAATTATTTTTTTTATTCAGTGTCCATTATCCTGGTACCCAATCAACAGTAGCAGCATACAATACAGGGAAACAGTTGTGGTCATCAGAAGACTTCAGTACATTTAATGACAATATTGGTGCTGGTTGTTGGGCTAGGGTATGCTTAATAAATTTTCTATTTTAGACCATTTTTCACCAGAAAAAGTTTTTCCATTTTGTAACTTCAGAAGATTTATAGCTTGTAAAAATCAGCTAATGCACTACCAATAGCACTTATTATATAGCTTATGTTATTCAACAGCACTTTTAACACAGGTAGTATTTTTAACAACCGCTAAAATGTTGTTTTTTTTACTTCTAATGAATTTCATAAATGAGCTTATTCTGTCTTACAGTTATAACTTCAAAGTGATTTACAAACATACAATGATAAGTATATAAACGATCATTAGTTGTCAGAGAAGAGAATACACACTCAGGTTGATAAACAAAAGGTGGCAAGTATCCTGACGGCATTAACATGTAGCCAATGTGCCAGGGTTAGAATTACAGTGATTTATTTATACACACAAGACAAACTTTTATGTATGTTTTTCAGACTCTGAATCAGAATTATGTAAATGGCTTATTTACAGGGTATGTAGGATTTCCAATTAGTTAAATGATATACATGTAAAACCTATTTAAATAGTTATGATATAAATGATAAAAAAATAATAGGGCTGTATTCTAATTCATGATTAAATAACTCTACAACTCTCATAGTGATAAACTCTAACTCATGTAAATAATTTTCTCATGAAACATTTGAAAAAGGAGAAGTTTTAGATTTTGTCACGGTTTAGAGCAAATGCTTTGAAAGCAATCATGAATTAAATTATTTTTAGATGTTTATGTTTTTCAGAACAATTACCTGGAACATGACAAATGGGTATTTTATTGTTTCAACATTATATACAAAAGTTTGATGATTTTTTGACCGTTTGTATTTTTCAGAACAATTGCCTGGAACATGATAACTGGGTATTATAATGCTTTACCATTTATCCGCCAAAGTTTGATGACAGCAAATTCACCATGGAGTGGAAACTATGTCATTAACAACCCTATATGGGTAACAGGTATTACAGGGCTTATTTTATCTGTAAAGCAGTTGGACTATACCTACACATTCAATTCATTCACACTTGACATCTAAATAAAAATAAAAGATGATTGCCAATGAAACAGAGTCCAAATGAAGTGGATTTAAGCAATGAATGTCTTCTCAAGAGTTTAATTAACAACATGTGTGTTGATTTTTTGTAGTAAAACTTAATATTTAACATCAGTTTCAATATAAATTTATTATGTATTGTAGATCTGACATAAGGAAAATAAAACTTTAAAATAATTTCAGCTCATACAACCCAATTTACAGCCCCTGGGTGGAGATATCTGAAGCATAACATGGGAGTGGGGAAATTGAAAAATGGAGGAAGTTATGTGTCACTTGTCAGTCCAGATGGGAAGAATCTCACCATTATCATGGAAACAGTGGTTTGTTTTAAGATACATTTATTAAGATAGATTTTAAGAACGCTTATTTTAGCATTGTCAATTTTGAAAAAAAAGGACCTTAGTGGTCTTGTGGTAGCAGCACTCTTGTGGTAGTGTATGAGTTGTGGGTTAGACCCAAGCCTGGTCAAACCAATAAGTTGAAAATTGATATTTGCTGCTACTCTGCTAAACAAGTGGAGTTTAGGAGCAAGAGCAAAGACTAGTTAGGCATAATTCAGAATAATATGTCCTGGTAAGGTGACCTGTCTTCTTATGGACTGTTTACTTTGAGAACTAGTAATTTGAAAATCATAAAAAAAATCTTTTCTAATGGCTGTTACATTGTTATAAACATGAAGTCATAGCTTATTACTTTCTATTTAAAATAACACATAGCTAAGAGAGTGAAAGAGCAGATTGTTACCTTTTGGAAAATCATTGTCAACCTTGGCTTCACCTTGGTTGACAACGTTTTTTCTGGGTAACAAACTGATATATTACCCTGTAAGCTATGGGTTATTTATATCATGTCTCTAAGTTTTGGCTAGTTAAAGTTTTAAAATGCTGGTATTTGAAGGTAAAATGGAAGTAGATTCTACAAAATTTTCTACGTTTTCTCTGACAGTTTTAGTTTGAAAGCAAAAATGTTCAGGTTATTAACTGTTTTAAGAACCAGAAATATCCCCTTTTTACAAAGAACATTTTGTGTTGCCTTTAAATGTTAAACAATAAGGCTTATGTCTCTTCTAAAACAGGATGTATTGGTAAAATAATACTTACAGCATTCAGCACAGTACCAAATAATTTTATTTTCAGTGTACAGATGCATCTAAAACATTTTACTTACACAATACTATACAATATTTACAATCTATGTACTGACTGACAATAATTATAGGAACATTGCTTTTTTCTTTCAGACATCTAAACATTCAGTGTGTTTTTATCACCAGCCAAACTTTAATGTTACTCTACAGAACATAACTCTACAGTTAAAAGGAAGTTTTGTAAGTAAACATTCCTCCTTCATGGAAATGTGATATGTATTAAAGTTATTTGTTTTGAACTGTTTTGTATGATGATTCCATAGTACTATTTTTGTATGAAAAAAAAAATGCTATAAAACCATTGTGAGTAGCCAAAGTAGCCAGAGTTTTTTAAATGGACCTATTCACAACTTGGGATTAGTATGGATTCAGTATCCAATATGGTTCCTACCAAGGCAGATAAATTTCATTAAAATCATGTGGGAAATATATATAAATAGCTACTTTCTAGAAGCTGTTTTACAGATTGAAATGAAATGCAAGGAAAAATAATCTAAAAAGCAGTTAATTTCACAACTCGTAAGCCCACTAAATTTAGTCTATTTTCAATAGGGAATTTTGGATTCCTACTCAATCTGAAAATTTTGTAAACGCAGTTGTCTATCTACAATTGATATCATGGATATACAACCATTTTATTACAATATAAAAATTTCTAAGTAATTCTGGTCTGAAATTTGCAATTAAAATGTAAAACCTTAAATTTCTTGCATATACAAGTCACATACAGTTATTCTATGACGAATTAGAAGGACAAAACTCTCCCAAAATATTCACAAGATTAATGGACATAATCTGTGACAAATTTCTTTTTAAATGTCAGTATCAGTTACATTGTATGATATAATAGATTTTAAAAAATATGTCTGAATTTACTTATCATTTACAGGCGAAAATAGACAAGATGGCTCTCTGGTACAGTAGACTAGGGTATGATGGAGGGCAGACTGAAATGATGCAGTATACAGGACAAGTTGATGTAGGTTAATCATCCAGGAAAATCCAGGTTTCATAAGATCTGTCTCCAGCCCCACAAATATCTTGAGCAGCTGGAATGAAATGGGTTTTTGTTGTTGTTCTTTAATAATTTAATTTTGGATTTAACACGTCTTCTGATTGGCTAAAAGTTGTTTGTCTATCAGCTCATAGATATAATTTTGTCATGTGACTATGACGTCATCAACGTTTTTCTTCATGATTTACTCCTTAAAAATGGAATTTAGAATTAAATTATAAGGAATGACTGTAATATTTTTTCTGGCTACAAAGGTTATTATTTTTGATGTTATTTCTTCATAGACAGAAAAAATATTACAGTCATTCCTTAAATGGCTTCATTATCTAAACATCTATTTATCTAATCAAATGTAGGTACTTCAGTAGACATTACATCAAGGCCCTTGTTATTTTTATCATGGTATTATAGTAGGATGTGACATTTTTTACATTATTAAATATGCGTTTTGTGATTGCAACTCCTACAACCTTTCAATAGGTTTTCATGAAACTTAAAATAAAGTGTTAGATCCTTACATGATGATGCACATATTAGTATTGCATCCTTGTCTGTTGACAAGTTCAAGAGCTAGCCATGTACATATTTTTTATACTACACAGTTTGAATTCATCAATTATAAAATGTGAAATCTACCTGTCTGTTCACAAATGAGAAGATAATTAATGTGATAGAGGAAATTCAGACAACAGAAATAGGAAACGCTATAGGTATTAATTAAATTATAACCCTTCAAGATGGTATCTGGAGTATCAATAACTTGTAGTACTCACATAGAAATTTTCATATCTGTTTATTTTATTATGATAAAGCAAAAAACATGGTCAGAATGAGGAGTTTAACATGTTTCTGATTGATGAATAGATAGTTTAACATGGCTGTCATAGCTATCAAAATGTTTTAAGGATGTAGTCAGGTGAAATTAAAGAAATCTAGAATTTTAAACTGATACTATAAATAAGAAGAGAATTAGTAAAGGAACAAAAAAACCAAAAAATATTGATAGGTTATGGAAGACCTTTTCGAGATATTTGATTTTTAAAAAATGTCGGGAAAGGGCTGGCTCTGACTTTTACCTTATATTTAGCATTGGCATTATTTGGGTCTCAAATCGTAAGAAAAAAATCTAGAAACTGCTTAAATTTTGGTAATGACCTTTTATGAGCTATTGAAGTCTTCTATGAAAAGAAAAGTAGGTGACATGGGGCAAATATTTTACCCTGTATCGTAGGAAAAAACCCAAGGAGTCCGAACATCTGACATAAATTCCTAAACCTGATATGACTACGTCCTTAATCAGATATATTTTGGGTAAACAAAAAGTTGAAAATGGGTATATTTGTTGTGCATTATGACAATTGTAACTTATTATTGATTTACTCATATTGTATTTACCTTTTCAATGCTAAAGTCATGTTTATTTATCTGTATATTTTTATCTCTTAAACTTAACAAGCTTGATAATTTTATCAGATTATTTGTCATCAAATTTTCTTTTCAGGTAAAAGATGGTAAAATTAATCTAAATCCTTACCCAGACATGGTGATCACTCTTACTACACTGACCACTGGTCAGAAAGGCAGTCATCCGGAACCACCACCAGATAAACCTTTCCCATTCCCATATACAGAAAATTTTGAAGGTAAGATTTTGGTGGAAATGGTTTTTTTTAGGTATTTTATCTCACCTGGCTGAAAGCGAAGTGATTTATTGAATCAGGTGGAATTTCACTGGAGAGTTATACTCATTTAAACAACAAAAGTTATTACTTTAGTGGAAAGCAAATTCAAAAGTTTACAGATAAAATTCTGTTGAAAATTATATTCTGATTTCATTTTTTTTTTTAAAAGATTTAAAGTTAAACCAAACTATGTTCCTTTGATAGTCTTTTTAAAACAAGCAATGTCTATCTGCTGCTGATTGCAAATTTAAAATGGCCAGTAGAGGTTGGTACACTTTTCAGATATGAAGGGAAAGATTTACATGGGAGCAACTCAAACTTCAAGAAGCCATTAATAAATATTTGTATCCTGCTTTATGGATTATCAGGGCATATAGTTATTTGTTTTGTTTAGTACCTTCAACCATAATCAGCAGTCACTGACTATTCTGTTAGCAGGACACATACATTAGACTTTCCTGTCAAAATTCACAACTTCTCCAAAATAATTATGATTTCAGAATACAATGACACAGAACAGCCAAAGTATATGGCTCAGCAGTTAGGATGCTTTGAAGTGCACAAATCTACTGATAGTAGCCATGGCAATGTATTACGACAGATGGTTCTTGAGCAGCCAGTTTACTGGAATGCTGCAGACAGATTAAAACGTACAGCTAACTTAATTGGGGATTATTCTTGGTAGGTATAAAACTGATCTCCCTGTCACCATGGCTACATTTATTACTGATGGTAGTATATGTCTAGCCTGTGGTTAAAGTTGCAGAATGTCAGACATGCTAATCAGGTGGTAGGGATGGCATAAACTATTGGTGTAAAGCTTTATATTTCAAAAGGAATAAGTCCTGGATACTTAATATCTTGAATGCAGATGCCTTATGTTCAGATGTTTCCATCTTGCATTGTCTTTGAACTCTTTTTCATGGTTTAACAAGTGCTTGAAAAAAAGTGGTATGGATTTTTAAATAACATGATTTTCTCACTTGTTATGAGTGATAAAACAACTGTATTTGGTATATTGAATCATTGCAAGGTCTACATGTCAGTCAGATTGGTTAATCTAACCTTTACCTCACTTCATGGATTAGTGGTCAAGGTTAAGTTTAAGTGGTCTCATCTTCAACTCTGATACTAAAGCAATGAATCAGGTATATTTGTTTTATGGATTATTTTGTAAGGCTTCTGGCAGGGTTCATCTGACCTTAAAAATCATTTTCATGGTTTATTGGTCAATGTTAAGTTATCATGGTTTAGTCTGTTTCTTAGATAGATTAAGCAATAGGCCAAGTATAGTTGGAGTTGGCCTATTGTACAGGATTATTGATATAATGTTAAGTTAATGTGAAACCTTTAGTTAAACCTTTATCTTTAAAAATTTCAACATAGTATTAAATCATGATCAGTAGGTGCTAGAACAAGAGAAATAGATAGACAAAATGTTCTATGTTCAATGCTATGTAACTGTTCTATATGGAAGATGTAACAGTGTCTGTAGATGCTAAGACAGGGGAGATAACTTGACAAATATTCTGTGTATAATTGTATGATATTTTTAGTCCCCTACCGTCGAAGTCAAGGATGACTTTAGGTTTGCACTCCGTCCGTCTGTCTGTGCATCCGTCAGTCCGGCAAATTAGTTTTCCACACTTTATTTCTTCGTGCTTGAAGATATTGATTTGATATTTGGTATATGGTTTTATCATGACAAGTTACAGATCAAGTTCGAATTTTGTTCCGGTCTGATGATTTTGAGCAGAGTTATGGTCCTTGAACTTAGAAAATTCACTCAAATAATCAGTTTTCCTCACTTTTTTTGTCATGCTTGATGATATTGATTTGATAATTGGTATATAGTTTTATCATGACAAGTTACAGATCAAATTGAAATATCTATAGGGAAGATTTAACAGTATCAGTAGATGCTAAGACCAGGGAGATTATTGATATAATTTTATAGGGAAGATGTAACTGTGTCAGTAGATGCTTAAACAAGGGAGATAATTTGTTAAATTGTATGATATAATTTTATAGGGAAGATGTAACAGTGTCAGTAGATGCTAAGACATGGGAGATAATTTGTTAAATTGTATGATATAATTTTATAAGGAAGATGTAACTGTGTTAGTAGATGCTAAGACATGGGAGATAATTTGTTAAATTGTATGATATAATTTTATAGGGAAGATATAACTGTGTTAGTAGATGCTAAGACATGGGAGATAATTTGTTAAATTGTATGATATAATTTTATAGGGAAGATGTAACAGTGTCAGTAGATTCTAAAGCAGGGATGATAATTTGTTAAATTGTATAATATAACTTTATAGGGAAGACGTAACAGTGTCAGTAGATGCTAAGACATGGGAGATAATTTGACAAATGTTTTGTGTTTAACTGAATGATAAAATTCTATAGGAAAGATATAACAGTATCAGTAGATGCTAAGACCAGGGAGATTATTGATATAATTTTATAGGGAAGATGTAACTGTGTCAGTAGATGCTTAAACAAGGGAGATAATCTGTTAAATTGTATGATATAATTTTATAGGGAAGATGTAACAGTGTCAGTAGATGCTAAATAGGGGAGATAATTTGTTAAATTGTATGATATAATTTTATAAGGAAGATGTAACTGTGTTAGTAGATGCTAAGACAAGGGAGATAATTTGTTAAATTGTATGATATAATTTTATAGGGAAGATGTAACAGTGTCAGTAGATTCTAAAGCAGGGATGATAATTTGTTAAATTGTATAATATAACTTTATAGGGAAGATGTAACAGTGTCAGTAGATGCTAAGACATGGGAGATAATTTGACAAATGTTCTGTGTTTAACTGAATGATAAAATTCTATAGGGAAGATATAACAGTATCAGAAGATGCTAAGACCAGGGAGATTATTGATATAATTTTATAGGGAAGATGTAACTGTGTCAGTAGATGCTTAAACAAGGGAGATAATTTGTTAAATTGTATGATATAATTTTATAGGGTAGATGTAACAGTGTCAGTAGATGCTAAGACATGGGAGATAATTTGTTAAATTGTATGATATAATTTTATAGGGAAGATATAACTGTGTTAGTAGATGCTAAGACATGGGAGATAATTTGTTAAATTGTATGATATAATTTTATAGGGAAGATGTAACAGTGTCAGTAGATTCTAAAGCAGGGATGATAATTTGTTAAATTGTATAATATAACTTTATAGGGAAGATGTAACAGTGTCAGTAGATGCTAAGACATGGGAGATAATTTGACAAATGTTTTGTGTTTAACTGAATGATAAAATTCTATAGGGAAGATATAACAGTATCAGTAGATGCTAAGACCAGGGAGATTATTGATATAATTTTATAGGGAAGATGTAACTCTGTCAGTAGATGCTTAAACAAGGGAGATAATTTGTTAAATTGTATGATATAATTTTATGGGGTAGATGTAACAGTGTCAGTAGATGCTAAATAGGGGAGATAATTTGTTAAATTGTATGATATAATTTTATAAGGAAGATGTAACTGTGTTAGTAGATGCTAAGACAAGGGAGATAATTTGTTAAATTGTATGATATAATTTTATAGGGAAGATGTAACAGTGTCAGTAGATGCTAAAGAGGGGAGATAATTTGTTAAATTGTATGATATAATTTTATAAGGAAGATGTAACTGTGTTAGTAGATACTTAGACAAGGGAGATAATTTGTTAAATTGTATGATATAATTTTATAGGGAAGATGTAACAGTGTCAGTAGATTCTAAAGCAGGGATGATAATTTGTTAAATTGTATAATATAACTTTATAGGGAAGATGTAACAGTGTCAGTAGATGCTAAGACATGGGAGATAATTTGACACATGTTCTGTGTTTAACTGAATGATAAAATTCTATAGGGAAGATATAACAGTATCAGTAGATGCTAAGACTAGGGAGATTATTGATATAATTTTATAGGGAAGATGTAACTTTGTCAGTAGATGCTTAAACAAGGAAGATAATTTGTTAAATTGTATGATATAATTTTATAGGGTAGATGTAACAGTGTCAGTAGATGCTGAATAGGGGAGATAATTTGTTAAATTGTATGATATAATTTTATAAGGAAGATGTAACTGTGTTAGTAGATGCTAAGACAAGGGAGATAATTTGTTAAATTGTATGATATAATTTTATAGGGAAGATGTAACAGTGTCAGTAGATGCTAAATAGGGGAGATAATTTGTTAAATTGTATGATATAATTTTATAAGGAAGATGTAACTGTGTTAGTAGATGCTAAGACAAGGGAGATAATTTGTTAAATTGTATGATATAATTTTATAGGGAAGATATAACAGTGTCAGTAGATGCTAAGACTTGACAAATGTTATTTGTTTAACTGTATGATATAATTCTATAAGGAAGATATAAATGTTTCAATATACAATTGTTGACTTTTGATGAGGTTGATACAATGATTTATCAACACCCCAGAGGTTGATAAATCATTGTATTAACTGAAATCAAAGTCAACAATTGCTTTATTATATGACTTTTTTCTTTTCCAATTTTCTAGAATTTGCTCAAGATACTTTCAAAACTGGTCCCTGTTTTTATAATGAATATATCATCTGCTTAAGCAGTTGCTAATTTTCATAAGCTGAAATATTCAATAAAATTTACTAAAAAAATACACAGAAAACAAGAAGAAAAAGAAAAAAAAAAACAGGAACTTACATGACATCATAAACCTACGTCATTGACGTTGCATTGGAATATCTATATTTAGGTACAGGGACTCTGTTCCAAATCTTATATTAACCTCTCATGATTTTTGCCGCAGTGAAGAGAAAACAGAAAATTTATAGTCATATAATAAAAGATGCTAAGACAGGGGAGATCACTTGACAAATGACAAATTTGACAATTATTTCATGTTTAACTGTATGATTTAATTCTATAGGGAAGATATAACAGTGTCGGTAGATGCTAAGACAGGGGAGATTAATGGCACAACTGGAGTATTCCTTGCAGCCAGGGTGGATAGAGGTGGTGTGAAAACAGGAGGGGCTTTAGGGGTATTCTTCTACTTGTATCCTTCCTTACAAATGTACAAGTTGACCTCTGACATTGGTAAGTGCATACTAAGTCTTTGTATAAATAACATTCTCTTCATAAAAAAAAATTATTGTTGCATGTTTTTATATGATCTACTGTGAAGGATATATTATAATTCATTTGTAGCCATTTTTTAAAACAAAAGTTAAAAGGAAAATCTTGTCATGAAAGATTCAGTATAAATTACTTTCAATTCATATGATTTTTAGATGGAAATTAAAAATCTTGTTAACCTCTATTCAACGATAAGACTAATATATAATGCATCCAATAATTCTGTGAAGACAAGAAAACTGTACACACAAAAAGATACCTTAATCTTATGCTGTCTATGAGGTTTTCATTTGTTAAGATCATATATCTGAGATACATGTATTTGTAATTTCAGGTGGTAAATCAGTGTTGAAGTCTGGAGTAGCACAAATAGCCAACAAGGGTTGGAATACATTAAAATTAATACTACAGGTACGATAAAAAAATAGGAGGTGTAAGATACCAAGGGTACAGTCAAAACTAGATAAAAAAGAGGTGTAAGATACCAAGGATACAGTCAAAACTAGATAAAACAAGAGGTGTAAGATACCAAGGGTACAGTCAAAACTAGATAAAAAAAGAGGTGTAAGATACCAAGGGTACAGTCAAAACTAGATAAAACAAGAGGTGTAAGATACCAAGGGTACAGTCAAAACTAGATAAAAAAAGAGGTGTAAGATACCAAGGGTACAGTCAAAACAAGATAAAATAAGAGGTGTAAGATACCAAGGGTACAGTCAAAACTAGATAAAAAAAAGAGGTGTAAGATACCAAGGATACAGTCAAATTTAGATAAAACAAGAGGTGAAAGATACCAAGGGTACAGTCAAAACAAGATAAAATAAGAGGTGTAAGATACCAAGGGTACAGTCAAAACTAGATAAAAAAAGAGGTGAAAGATACCAAGGGTACAGTCAAAACTAGTTAAAAAAAGAGGTGAAAGATACCAAGGGTACAGTCAAAACTAGTTAAAAAAAGAGGTGAAAGATACCAAGGGTACAGTCAAAACTAGATAAAAAAAGAGGTGTAAGATACCAAGGGTACAGTCAAAACTAGATAAAAAAAGAGGTGTAAGATACCAAGGGTACAGTCAAAATAAACTAACAATGTCATGGCAAAAAACGAAAGATGAAGAAGAAACAAATAAATTCACAAAACACTCCATAGAAAACTAAAAACTGAACAGTACATACCCAACCAAAAAAAATGGTTGATCTAAAAGTGCTCTGGATGGGTAAGCAGATCCTGCTCCACTAGAGGCACCTGTCATGTTGCTCATGGTAAGTAAAAATTTGGTGCTTAGTCTCATTTTGTGTTGTCACAATCTTGGAAAAGAGGACAGGATCATGGTTACGACAATTGGAACATGATGTTGTCATCTGTGACACAAATATCCCATAGAAGTTAACCAACTCGAGACTGCATCCATAAGACTTTTCCAATTGAAAATCTCTGAATTCTGAATGCTGAGTGAAGATGTTTCCATGAAATAATAAACTTGCTTCAACCCTTCTTGATACAACACCAAAATTATGATTATAGGATTAAACAGGATTTTACACGATTTTAGACCAAATAAAATTGAGAATGGAAATGGGGAATGTGTCAAAGAGACAACAACCCGACCATAGAACAGACAACAGCAGAAGGTCACCAACAGGTCTTCAATGCAGGGAGAAATTCCCGCACCCGGAGGTGTCCTTCAGCTGGCCCGTAAACAAATATATATACTAGTTCAGTGATAATGAACGCCATACTAAACTCCAAATTGTACACAAGAAACTAAAATTAAAAATAATACAAGACTAACAAAGGCTAGAGGCTCCTGACTTGGGACAGGCGCAAAAATGCGGCGGGGTTAAACATGTTTATGAGATCTCAACCCTCCCCTATACCTCTAGCCAATGTAGAAAAGTAAACGCATAACAATACGCACATTAAAATTCAGTTCAAGAGAAGTCCGAGTCTGATGTCAGGAGATGTAACCAAAGAAAATAAACAAAATGACAATAATACATAAATAACAACAGACTACTAGCAGTTAACTGACATGCCAGCTCCAGACTTCAATTAAACTGATTGAAAGATTATGTCTTCATCATATGAATATCAGGCACAATCCTTCCCGTTAGGGGTTTAGTATCATACCATCATAACATATACGAGAAGAACATAACCCGTGTCATGCCAACAACTGGTTTTTAAATAAATGTGTTTAGTGCCGATGCAAAGACCCTATAAGTGAATCAATATTAACGCCAAAATATGCAATCTTTAATGACCTGACAACAGTATCGTAACTATATCCCTTCTTAATAAGTCTATTTAAAGGTTTTGTTAGCTTTAAAGGTGAATACTGACATTTTTGTGCTTTATAAAGAATATTTCCATAAAAAATTGGATGTGAAATACCTGAACGTATAAGAAGTCTGCATGTTGAGTTATATTTACGAATGATGTCCTTATACCGATGATAAAATTTAGTAAATGTTTTGACTAGTTTGTGATATCGAAAACCCTGGTGTAATAATTTTTCAGTAATACATAAATTTCTCTCGTTAAAATCTAAAACATTGTTACATACACGAGCGAATCGTACAAGTTGAGATATATAAACACCGTAAGATGGTGACAAGGGAACGTCACCATCTAAAAATGGATAATTAACGATAGGAAATGAAAAATCATCTCTTTTATCATATATTTTAGTATTAAGCTTTCCGTTAATGATATAGATATCAAGATCGAGGAAAGGGCAGTGGTCATTATTAGTATTAGATTTATTTAAAGTAAGTTCAACAGGATAAATTTCTTTAGTATACATACTGAAGTCGTCATTATTGAGAGCCAAAATATCATCCAAATATCTAAAAGTATTATTAAATTTGTGTATCAGATGTTGTTTCGATGGGTCTTTGCTGATTTTTGTCATAAATTGTAACTCATAGCAATACAAAAAAAGGTCCGCAATAAGTGGTGCACAGTTAGTCCCCATTGGAATTCCAATAACCTGACGATATACGGAATCTCCAAAGCGAACAAAAATGTTATCTAGTACAAATTCAAGGGCATATATAGTATCAAAGCATGTCCAATTGACATAGTTTTTTGTTTATTGCTACTAAAAAATGACCTAAAAGAGTTTGAACATATATATTCACATTCTGACCAAGCATTTATTCACTTTATGAGACAGTTGAATAAATTCAAACCTTACTTAACTCTTTCTGATGGGACTGTCAGGGCACTCAAATCAAAATATTTGGAAAGCCAAATTAATAATGACCTTGAAGAGCATTGAAAACCTAATCTTAAAAAAAGTTGTGCCAAATCTGACTTTCACTATCTATACTTGGGGAGAATGAAGACATGAATGTATATCTTCATAAAATATCTAAATTGTTCTGTGACAACTTGACAGTGATTTATTTTCTCATTGAGTAGTGACCTTTGAACCATCTTCTTTGTATATTTCAGGGATATCAGGTTGAAGGATATCTGAATGGACAATATTTATTTGAATCTGACATACAGAATGTACCGTTGACAGGATTTGTTGGTTTTGGTACCTCTGATTATGGTTATGCTGAATATGATAATCTGGCTATATATAACTCGGAAAAAGTTACACCACATAATGATCCAGATATATTGTACTTTATACCAAGATAGTAAACTAAACAATAATTTTATAACCGTAGTAGCAAAATTTTATCAAGACTTTTTATGCAACTACAGAAACTATTACATTTTATTGTTTTGAGAAATGTTGCTATAGTTATCTGATTGATGAGATTTTTATTGTGCCATATTAACTTGCTAAATAACCTTGCCAAAAAGGTCATCCTTAACCAGGTTTTAAAGTGCTTATTAATACGGTGAAGTAAGGGCAGGCGGACAGTTTCAGTACATTTACTTTAGGAACCATTCAACCAATGCTTTTCAAAATTAAGTATGTTGTTACTGCTGGTTATGTTCAATATTGAGGTCAAGTTCAATATTGAGGTCAAGTTCAATATTGACAATTTTCACCTTTACCATTCAGGAGTTATGCTCCTTGTTAGATATGAAAATAGGCACAAAACATGACAGGTCAATCAAGTCTGAAAGAACCAACAGCCAATATGATAGGCAGTATAATTCAGAGATTTACAAGCTAAGGCAAGTTGACATTACAACTATTGTCATATTTGATTGCGTAGATCTGTTTATAATGTTGAGATTATGTTTACGCAGTTGTTATGAGATTTTTGAAAGTTTATATATTACTTTTTTATAATATTTATACTTGTTTTACTGAACATTCCTTGATAAACATACCATTGTTAATTATTGTGATTATAAACCTTTATATGAACACTAGGTTTACATTTTAGACTTAATTATCTCAAGTGGATAAATAATTTAAACAACAGCAGGGTGTGTTAGAATCTCTATCGATTCCAAAATTTGTTATCCTCTTTTGTTCAAACATGTGAACTTTTTTAATAAATGTTTTTTTTTTAACATTGTTGTTTCATAAATTGATGTTGCTCAATATTTAGTTTTCTGTGTTGTTTATTATGGGTACTCTGGCTTTACTCCATCAATAAAAACTGGCTGCCATGATAAAGCCAATGTTGCTGAAAGTGGCATTAAACACCAATAAACAAATCTTTGATAACTTGTATCTACATGCCAGATTTTATTGACCTAGTTTATAGCAATTGTTTGATACATATGACACTTGAAGGAAGGTTGATAATAAATCTGAAATGATATTTACCAACAGTTTAATATGTTGAGGTATCTAGGCTGATATACAGCATATCAAAAATACCTCAATAATGTTGGATTTCAGTGATTTGGGTACAATTTTTGTCATATCTTGTCATAATAGATGCCGGACTCTTTATAGGAGACAAGATCAATATGGGTCTGGACTTGCATTGCTGCATGCAATTGATTGAGATAATATGTATACTGGAGCATGATTGATCATTTCCTTTTCATTGATTCCAAGAAAACTAGGATGAAAATTCCTCATACAATGAATTTTGTAAAATTTCAAACCATTGGCAGACAGGAAGTGGCTACACAGAAGATGTAAAAATTGCTTACTCACTACAACTCAGCATTATCAAGCTGCAGACCAAATATTAAATCATTCCCTTGCATAGAAGCCAAGAAAAGTTAGACCAAAAATTTTCCTTGTACAATGAGTGTTGTAAAATTTTAATTTATCTGCAACAGGAATTGGATACATGGCAGATGTAAAAATTGCTTACTTACTACAACTCAACATTATAAACCTTCAGAACAAATATAAAATCATTCAAGTAGTAGTTTTTGCAATAGTTTTTATGCAATTGACATCTGCATCAAACAAGTACATTTGTACATCATTTGTTTATGAATCCAATGAGTCTACAGGTACTAGACATCTGCATCAAACAAGTACATCTGTACATCATTTGTTTATGAATCCAATGAGTCTGCAGGTACTAGACATCTGCATCAAACAAGTACATCTGTACATCATTTGTTTATGAATCCAATGAGTCTGCAGGTACTAGACATCTGCATCAAACAAGTACATCTGTACATCATTTGTTTATGAATCCAATGAGTCTGCAGGTACTAGACATCTGCATCAAACAAGTACATCTGTACATCATTTGTTTCTGAATACACTGAGTCTGCAGGTACTAGACATCTGCATCAAACAAGTACATTTGTATATCATTTGATTCTAATTCTAATGAGACCCAATGAGTCTGGTATTTGACATCTACATCAAACAAGTACATTTGTATATCATTTGTTTCTGAATACAATGAGACCCAATGAGTCTGGTACTTGACATCTGCATCAAACAAGTACATTTGTATATCATTTGTTTCTGAATACAATGAGACCCAATGAGTCTAGTACAATTTGGAAAACTTTTTAAGGGCATACGATACAGTTACAGGGGAGGTAATGATGTTGCTAACGTTAAATGTTATTTTTCGTGACATCAAATTGCACATATCGGGAAAAGATGCATTCTTCGAGTTTTTTTAATCATCAGGTTGAAAATGTGTACATAGACCCCTCTTTTTTTACAATGAAGATCATTTGTTCCAATTTTTCTGGAAAAAAACACTGATGAATTTATTTGAATTGGATAAATATGCAGCAAAAAATGACGTTTTTTTTTCTAAAATCAGGGAAATTTAATTAAAATAAATTATTTACAAAGAATTTTTACACAAATTAAGAGCATAATTTTGTTAAGAAGATATTCCAAATCGTTTCACAAAAATATGCATGTGTTTATCTTTTGAAACAAAAAAGTTAAGTATGTCTGTCCAAAGAAACAAATGTCCAAGAAACCAAAATTTTGTGTAAATGTCTAAAATTTTGACACCATTTATCTCTAAATTTAGAACATGAAGGTATGTTTTTTATTACATATTTGAATTGACTAAATGAAAAATAGCTTGTATGAAAATTTTCGTAAATATAACACCATGAGATCAAAACTTTATAACATGCCCTTTTAATTATATAAACCATTACTAAATGTTGGCGAAAGCATTCACTAAGACATATTCATAATACTGTAATTTATTGCAACTAAAATTCAATGAAAGACAGGGTTTTAAACTATTACAGAAGATTACAGAAGATAATGTTTGAAGCAGATTAATATAAAGTACATTTTGTTTACTGATAGGCTCTAGATCTAGAGCTGATCTAAAGGTTTATGGACATGTTACATAAAATTACATAAACAATTTCCACATACAAGTTGAAGGATAGTTGCATTTTGTTGAATATTTAAATTTGTGGTTCAACTGTAACCATGAAATTACTGAAAATTGGTATCAAAGAGATAATAATGATTGCACAGTAGTTTAATAAACAACTACTAGATATATTTTGTATTACCGTTGAGATTACTTCAAAAATATGGTCATACTTTAAATTTTGGACTAATCTGACACAGATATGACTTTCAGAACACATTTGTATATAGGTAACAATGTAAGTAAGGGAGAACCACCTTATGATTTACATAAATGTTTTATATCTATAACAAAGATACCCATTGTAATGTGAAAATAACATGATACATGTACATGTATGTAATTTAATCCAGTCACCCTGTGATAATATTTTATGATTAAAACAAAAAAATGTAATTGAATAAATTATGCTTCTCCTTTTACCAAATTTAAAACTCAAATCATCATTCTTGGCAGTTATAACAAATATTCCCACAGGATTTGACCTGTGTTAATCGGTCAACAATTAATATCAGTAACCAATACTACAACAATATCAAATAATGTAATAAACAGTATAAAAAATCTCTGGACATAGACAAGCCAGATATAGTACATCTATCATAGGATATAACATCAAATGTATATATAGTGTTACTTTCTATTAGGTCAACTCAAATTATTTGGTAGATTTTCATCCAACTTGTTGAAAAAAAAATGGGGTGGGAGGATTCAATTTTTTTATTTTTACTGAAACCCTTTCGTAATGTGTTCTTCATATGCAAGTGTAATAATAAGCTTAATTCATGTATATATAAAGAATTATGCATACTTTTTCAGATTCTACAATAAATATTTCTGATTGGCAACCACTGTAACAGTTCTAATTGCTTTAGAAACCAATTTTCAGTAAATAGCAAAAATGTGGAGAAATGCTCTCTTTTAGACCACTATCAAATTTCTTTAACTGTCCAACTTATGATTTATACTATAGTTGCCATAAAATGAAGCATAAGTTTTATGAGTACAGAGTAAAATGAAAACTCAAACTGTGTTTAAAATACTAGGGTTGATGGTTTATAACTGTATTAACGTAGCACATGAACTTAACCAAAAGAAGAAGTTGTTTAATTAAATTATCCAGTAGCTGGGAACAGATGGTATATAATGTTTGTCAACAAAAAAAGGACAGTTTGGGGTAAAACTTGCTATACATTGGCCGACTTTTTGAATTCAATATACAATCCTTAAAACAGTGTAAATTAATTTGGAAAAGTTCATAATTGGGTCAATTTCTTTTTTCCAGTCCTGTTTTTTTAATACCAAAGCGTGTTACAATTCTTGCGCTTTGAATATCAAATTTTCTGACACAAAGTCATTGTATAAATAAAAAATCCATAGTTTCTTATCACTGAAATTTATGACATACTGCAATTCGCATTCTTTGACAATTACTCATAACCCGAACATGTCAGGTCCTCCCTGTAATCAATCACTCTTCTACGAAGATAATGTAGTTATCATAGAGGAACAGAATATATCGACTTAACTATTTTGGTTAAACTACTCGAAGAAATACAAAAACCAAATTTTGCAACAGGAAATTCTAAATAATGAAACAAATTTTCGGTGCGGTTACTGGAAATTGTAATTTTTTTTTAATATAAAAAAAATAGGGGTGGGTGGGGATGAAAATCTATCAATTAATTTTAATTGGCCTTACACTGAAATTACATTCATTTCATATGTGAACTTATCAGAAGGAAAACAACTATGAAACATGTAATGATAATATATTTAAATATATATCATATTGAACAAGAAATTTATGTTCACACATCAGTTATCATTTTTAGCTCACCTGGCCCAATGGGCCAAGTGAGCTTTTCTCATCACTTGGCGTCCATCGTCCATTGTCAGTTGTCCTCCATTAACTTTTACAAAAATCTTCTCCTCTGAAACTACTGGGCCAAATTTAACCAAACTTGGCCACAATCATCATTAGGGTATCTAGTTTAAAAAATGTGTCCGATGACCCCGTCTGCCAATCAACATGGCTGACATGGCTTAAAATAGAACATGGGGGAAAATGCAGTTTTTGGCTTATATCTCTGAAACTAAAGCATTTAGAGCAAATCTGATATGGAGTCAAATCAGGTTAACATCCAACTGCCGTCAAATTTTCAGAAGAGTCAGACAACCCGTTGTTGGGTTGCTGCCCCTGAATTGGTCATTTTAAGGTAATTCTAAGGTAATTCTGCAGTTTTTGGTTATCTTGAATATTATAATAGATATAAACTGTAAACAGCAATAATGTTCAGTAAAGTAAGATCTACAAATAAGTCAAAATGACCAAAATTGTCAATTGACCCCTTAAGGAGTTATTGCCCTTTATAGTCAATTTTTTACAATTTTTTTACAATTTCTGTAATCTTTTACAAAAATCTTCTCCTCTGAAACAACTGAGACAAATTTAACCAAACTTAGCCACAATCATCATTTAGGTATCTAGTTTGGAAAATGTGTCCGATGACCCCTCCTGCCAACCAACATGGCCAACATGGCTAAAAATAGAACATAGGGGTAAAATGCAGTTTTTGGCTTATATCTGTGAAACAAAGCATTAAATAGAGCAAATCTGACATGGGTAAAAATGTTCAATAGGTTTAGATCTATCTGCCCTGAAATTTTCAGACAAATTAGGCAACCCATTGTTGGGTTGCTGCCCCTGAATCTTTATAGTCAATTTTTAACAATTTTTTTCATAAATTTTTGTAATCTTTTACAAAAATCTTCTTCACTTAATCTACTGGCCCAAATAGAATTAATTTAGCCACAATTTTCAATAGGGTATCTTGATTGAATAAAATGCTTCGCTGAGGGCAGCCAGATACGACCGCAGAAGTCGAACCCTGAACAGTTGGGGCAAGTTTGGACACAATATCCAACTTGATACTAAAATTGAGAATGGAAATGGGGAATTTGTCAAAGAGACAACAACCCGACCATAGAACAGACAACAGCAGAAGGTCACCAACAGGTATTCAATGCAGCGAGAAATTCCCGCACCCGGAGGCGTCCTTCAACTGTCTGAATTTGGATTGTGATCAAATTTTTGACATAATATAGGTTTCTGACACAAAATAAATGTGGTCAAAGATCTTAAAAATTTGAAATGGGACATTTTGGTTGAAGGCTGCGCATTTTAATTTTGTTTGTTGTTAATGTACAAATTGACTAATACCAGTTGTTTGATACTGTAGAAGTAACCCAAATATTTCAGTTCCTCCTGTGATCAACTCTCCCACTTGCCCAGGCCTGAACTTTATATGATACCATTGAAATGTGTCACAAATCCATAAATTTGATTGGCATTCTCTGTATGAGAGAACCAATCAGCTGATAACTTAATGTTATGGAGATAGGTATATCCTGAACTAATTGGGAATGACAATTGACGATTTTTCATTGACTAAGGCCTTCTGACATTAATGTTGTCAGGGTAGAGCTGCGAATCATAACAACTGATTTATTCGGGATTCTGTAGAAGTAGTGATTATATTTGAAACATATTACAGTATTGATTAAAGTATTTATTCAAACAAGGAAATAAAAGTAGTGTTAACAATATATTTAAACAGATTAAGGAGATTCTACTAAGAACCACAGATTAATACTAAATACAATGTAAACCAACTTAAAACTTAACTTTCACAAACTTTCTATTTACATAAATTTTAAGAATACAAAAAATAAATTGCCACTGTATCAACAAGTAAGAGTGAATAAATTATTTGTGAAATTAAGTTGGTTTACAGAACTTTAATGCTACTATATTTAAACATAAAGGATTGCACAGATGTCATAATTTCAAAAAGTGATTATGTACAAAAAGTAATATCAATACAAATGCTACGTGTGTGACTGGTTCCACTAAACAAGCACTAACTAATTATACAGAAATTTTAACAGATCATGATAAGTTCTATGATAAAAATTTACCCAATCACCGAGTTTACAATACAACACTGTTATGCTTCATTCAATTAACTACATAGTAATTGATTTTGGAACAGTAGTGATTGTAGTAAAACTATTACTCTTTAAATGATTTTTTTGGTCAGTATTACACAAAGTTTTTCACCTGAACATCAGTACAATTATTCACACATGAAATACTGTCTCAGTAAAAAAACTTCAAATAATTATATTTTTGTACAGTTAAAATATATTGAAGCGGGGGTAGGGTGAGTTGAAAATATGATTTCCATAATCAATGAAATAAATGCTTACAATTTCAGACTAGATGATTAGTTAGAAGTTATATAAACTCTCTATGCCTTAAGAAACATGTCTGTCAAAAACCAGCTACCATAAATAAATGATGAAAAAGAATCGATCACATAACAAAAACAATCATATTGACCCATTCAAAATATTCTAAATTTTTATGAAATATTATATACTTGAGAGGAATTTTACAAGATTTTGTGACAACTTAATTCAAAAGTTTGTCTTTCATTCAACTTTTGTTCAAAAGATGAAATAAAATTTCAAAGGTGTGAAAACTTTTAAAAATTTGTAACAAGACTTCTTTATTGTTACTTTATCATGTTTATCAAAACAAAAATAGTTTGTTGAAAATATCAAATCTTATTTGAAAATGACTGCGGAACATTGTGTGGAATCATAGTAATAAAATACTTATAGGTACACAAATAATGTGTCATAAAAGTTTTTATGTGACCTCAATAATGTCCATATACCCTACATTGAAACAATCTAAATTATAGTCAAAGTTACATTTGTTTCATTCACTGATTTCTTTAAATCACACTACAAGTTTATATTAATTGTTGGTATAACACTTTGGAAAGAAACAATACAAGTAATTTATATGTGCAATTGAATCCTGTGCTACACAGATTTTATAACAATCATAAAACATTTACAAAATGATAAAAAAATAAAAATTTAGTTAAAAAACATTTTGGCTGATTAAAAAAAATAAAATATATTTAAACTTTTTATACAACAGTTATTTCTATATCAGAAGAAAATGCACTTGTATTCATACTTACTGAATTTTACTACCTGACACACAAAAATGCAAATATCATTGTAAGAATTTGGAAAAAAATGTAAAATCTTAATTTTGTACCAGGTTGATGATAACCACTAAGATAATATCTGATCCCCTGTTTATTGGTGGTCCTCTTTTAATTCTTCCTCTATAACTTGATCTGTGATATGTTCAAATCCATCCTCTCCTGTATCTGAGCTACTATCATCTGATAAGTTTTCTAGGGGTTGATATAAATTCAGGAATTCTTTTATTTTCTCAGCAAGTTTAGTGTGTTCTGAGCTGTAAATCAAAACATAAAATATTAATTTCTAAAAATAAAACATTTTCAACAATTATTGATAAAAAGTAGGATCTTTGATAATGTTCTTGTTGGCTAAAACATTGATTTTGTATTTAATAAATTTAAGCATAACTAAATTTGTTTTGCTATACAGTTATGAAAACTTATGGTCCTACATCCTCTCGATATTATGTGACAGATAGCGAAATCCGGAGCTGATTCTGAATGACAAATTGACTATTTTGTCTTTCGTCTTATTGATATTGTAAGTTATTTTTTGCTCTTCACCAAGAAACTTCCTTGAGTTTAAAAAGACCATTGGTAATCTTATTATCACCATTTAACTAGGCAATGTGGATGATGTAGACTTCATCTGATGTTCAGCGGTTGTTGTTTGTTGATGTGGTTCATAAGTGTTTCTTGTTTCTTGTTTTTTATATAGATTAGACCGTTGGTTTTCCTGTTTGAATGGTTTTACACGTCATTTTTGGGGCCCTTTATAGCTTGCTGTTCGGTGTGAGGCAAGGCTCCGTGTTGAAGGCCGTACTTTGACCTATAATGGTTTACTTTTACAAATAATGACATGGATGGAGAGTTGTCTCATTGGCACTCATACCACATCTTCTTATATCTATTCATACATTTTCTTTCTAATCAACGGAGTTAAACCATTATCACTTGAGGAGCACGAGATGAAAAATTATCATCAATGGAAATATTTAGAAAATAGGGATAATAATGTTATAAGGATATTGCACATTTTACAAGATATTTATATTATTAAGGTTATGGTAACTTGTACATTTTAACAGTAAACTAATGTTATAGGGAAGTTGTACATTTTAACAGTGAACTGCATTTGAAAAGGACTAAAAAACAAAATATATTTACCTTTCTTTACCAAAGATGAAAGAATCTGTAACACCTACATCAATTCCTGAGTTCATGAATAGCACAACCTGATAACCTTTACCAAAGTAGGTCACAGTTTCCTCTTTCACATGTACACCGGTCACATCTTCTATATTGAACACAACTGAAAGACAATTTTCAATAAATATTTTTCTATAAGTTCTTTAACTTTTAGGTCTGCAGTCTAAATGTCCCTGAAAACTATTTCATATTATATTTATTCTTGTCTTGTTCAGGGATCTCCATGACCTGTTTTATGATGGCGCACCGCCATCGTTAAATTATCTTACACCACTGTCAAATGATCCCCGCCATCGTTTAATTATCTTCCGCCATCGTCAAATGGTCCCCATCATTGTTAAATAACTACACTATGATTGAAAGGTGAAGTCAAAATTTGTTTTCGTTTCGCTAGCCGCCACCATTTTTGTTAGCAATTACAATCAATTGCATGTAATTGCATAACCCCTATTATATTATAATCCAAAGGGTACCCCTGATTACTGTTTTGATGGATATCCGGCTAATGATCGCTAATCGCTTGAACAGGTAGATCTACACATCTGACAAGAGATCACTTGATCTAAAGAAACAATTTATTGCAATATTTAATTACTTTTCAGCAAAATGAAATGCTGTTGAAAATTTAGAAATTTAAAATCAATTACCAAGAAAAATGTTCAATAAGTTAATGGTAAAACAGAACAAAATTTCATGCCAAGTAACAACAAGTATCCATCATAATGAATCACTTTATATTTAAAAAGTAAATGCTGGAATATTAACTGCAACTTGATAATCTGAAGAAATTTCGTATCGTAATTCCGAATTCATTTCGTAGTTTACAATCAAATTATGTGTGAGTGCATGGCTCAGTGGTTACGACTGTTGGCTAAAGTACTGAAGGTCCCGGGTTCAATCCTGAGTCTGGATGTTGGAAATTTCAGTACATTAGAAGGGTGATTTTTACCCTCCCACACACATCTCTGGTAGCTAGAATGGAGTTTAAACTAGGATGGGTACTTTGGGGGTATGGTAGGTCAAAGTGGCCCCCAGCTGTGACCTGGAGATCAATCTGTAGATATCTCTTTGGTTTGTCTGTTTCCGCCGAGGAGTCCGGTAGTTCTCTCCGAGTACTTTGGCTTCCTTCACCATAATAACAGACTTCCTGGTATCCTAACACTCCTTGAGTGGTGGGTTGTATATAAGTTAGTGACACATCTCCATTAATCCTTATACGGAGTGTACACAGATTCCACTGTACCCTCGTAGCTATCAAGGGGTGCTTCTCATATTGGAGGAATTTACGTACATACATAAAATTGAGAATGGAAATTGGGAATGTGTCAAAGAGACAACAACCCGACCAAAGTGCAGAAAACAGGCCAAGGCCACCAATGGGTCTTTAAAACAGTGACAAAATCCCACACCCAGAGGCAGGCTACATTCAAACATACATACAATACATCCAGTTTACATTCAGAATCAAAGATGCATGTTGCATGGTCTATTACTGTGGACTTTGAAATTTTAGGTCATTAAAGCCATTTCATTTTCACACTTTTCCCCTCCATAAATCTGTATTTAAGGTTTCACATAAATTGGTATAAAACTTTTGTTTTTCTGAATTGAATTTGACACTACTACTACGGGGATGATTGACAGTGAGAAAAAAGTCCCCATTTTTAAGTCCTAACAAAATTACCAAAATAGTGAGAAAGTCACTGTGGGAACCTTCTGACAGGAAAATAACTTTGACATTAACAAGGTTAACAGGACAGCGGAATTGTGGTTATCCTTGACTAAGAGGAGGGGTGCATTCTTTACTGAAATGAATATAATAAACAATATATCAGTCTTTTCACTATTCCTTACAATGAAATGTAGAAATGAAGTATTTTCGATCAGCACACATGGGTTTTGTCCTGGTGGGAGTTACTCCATCGTTAAATTTTCAACCATGGAGATCCCTGCTTGTTCTGTATAAAGAAATGTTTACCTACAATACTTGAGAAATCCACATTTTATTGGGGTATATTTATCTGACCTATTATTTCAGAAAGTTGTAATTGTTAATTTCAGATTTATTATCTATATACTTCAATAAATTTTGTTGTAATGCCTCAGTGATATGTCCTGCCTTTAAGTAATTTGAAAGTATAATGCAAATATTGAAATTAAAATGGCAGTTCTTTAACATGTCAACCATGCATCACATTCAAATTCAATGAACTATGACTGAAGGTGCAGGGCCAAATAACCTCTGTTGAAATGAAAAATGCCAATGTTAATACAACTGCATACTAAATACGGATGACTTATCGTACATGTAACTGGCTTCCTTTACACTGACCTAAACACAAACTTAAACATGTAAACTATGCAAAAGTCAATAAACCATGATGAGGGTGTGGGGCCATATAATCCCCAAGGAAATGAGAGTTGTACTGTTACACTACTGTCCCAGGTAAGGGGGGGGGTTGGCGCCAGCAAACATGTTTAACATTCTGTATATGCCTGTCCCCAAGTCAGGAGCCTGTCATTCAGTGGTTGTCGTTTGTTGCTGAATATCATATTTTGTTTTGTTTAGTGTTTTGTACATTAACCAGGCAGTTTGTTCTCTCGTTTGAATTGTTTTACGTTTGTTATTTCTGGGCATACTATACTTCTGGGGAACTAGTATACATTTTTGTTTAGGGGCCAGCTGAAGCCCTCTACTGGTGCGGAATTTTCTTGCTGCGTTGAAGACCAATTTGTGACTGTGGGCTGTTTTCTGCTATTTGATCAGGTTGCTGTCTCTATGACACATTTCCTGTTTCCATTCTCAATTCTACTGTGTGGTATGGGTTTTGCTCATTGTTCAAGGCAGTACAGTGACCTATAGTTGTTAACTTCTACTTCATTTGGTCTCTGGTGGAGAGTTGTCTCATTGGCAATCATACACATCTTCTTATTTTTACATGCAAAAGTTTCAAGGTTAATAGACAAGGTCTGAAGGGGCAAGGCCAAATAATCTCCATGGAAATGAGATGTGCCAATGATAATACAATTGCATACCAAATATCATTGACCTTCCATTAGTTGTTCATCTTAAACTGACCTAATCACAAACTTTCATATTTAAACTTAGCTAAAGTTTTGAAGTCAATAGACCAAGACTAAGGGGTTGGGGCCACAAAATCTCAATGGAAATGAAATTTTATAATGCAAATACAACTGTAGGAAACAGCACTCCTTTTTCCACCTTGAAGAGGCAACACATAAATGTGCCTTTTTGTGCAAAATATTTCAGTACTGTTTAAAAATTTAGTGTTTCAATGGCATAACTATGCTAGTCTTCCTTAAATTTTCTCAACATGTATAGATTCAAGGCAATTTAGAGCTTGCTAGTTGCTTTCTTAACTCAACATGTCTTTTTATTCTTTAGAATTGTATGTAGTAACTTACCAACACTGGCAGGCTTGTTACTAATCATACTAAGTATTCTATCCCATACAGTCTGTTTTGTTAGTCTAATATCTTTATCTGTTTTGTTAAATACACATTCCTAAAATAAAAAGACAATCGTAAATGAATTCAATGGAGGTATGACAACAGTCACATACAGGTACAGTGATTTGGGATATAACTTATTTGACATAAAAATTTAATTTTAATCATATAATAATTTCTTCATACAAGTAAAGAGAGATCTGTAAAAAAAAACATGCCATTTCCTGGCAGGCCTGTTGAGTTTTCTTTATGTCACAATGATTATGAATCAATCAAATACTGGTTTGACCTCAATTTCTTTTTCTAGACAAAACAATCTTGAAAAATTTCATACATATTGATTTTTTTCCTTAATAATAGGATCAAAGCCCTAACCAAAAAGATGCATTGTGTCATACAGAGATGTTCATGTCATCAATTAAACAATAAATCTTTTATCAATTTAATATTTGTTCTTCCTTTGTGCTAAAGGAAAAACTATATTAGCTGAATGTGTGCATTTACTATTTAGAATATTCAACAAAGCAAAAAATGTATTTCTTATACCTATCAAATACTGTAAATCTTAATGACCTATTGGTAACTAAATATCTATAAATAATACCTCATAGTCTTCCATACAGGCTAATCCCATAAATACACCAAAGGTCAGGTAAACTGTCTGCCAGAAGTACGAATCTATGATAAAAAAAATTTGTGCAAACTGTCTGTCAGAAATAGAAATTTGTGATAAAAAAATTTGTGTAAAATAGGAATCTATGAAAAAAAGTTTGTATAAACTGCCTCAAACATTTATATATCATTGTTCTCTTGATCAAACTTTTTTTTCATTAAGGTACAAAAATTGAAAATGGAAACAGGGAATGTGTCACAGAGACAACAAGTCGACCAAAGAGCAGAATAGATGTAATAATGCATGGATCATAAATACAAAGAATATTTTGGATGAAATTTAGGTTTTTAACACTAAGGAAGACATCTGTCTGAGGTTATTCTGGACATTACTCAGTGCACGATTTGAGACATTTCTGCATGAAAAATACTCATAAATTAAAGCCACCTTTAAAGTGTAGGTCTGCATGATTTTATGCTTTTCAGCTCTCAAATGAATTCTAATATGACCTTCCAAACTTATGGTTACTAAAGAATGTTATGAAAATTCTTTATGAAATATGTGGTTTAGACCCTGTAGTTGACATTATCATTTCCCCTTCCTCTGACAGAAAGCTTGCCTAAATGAGTCTACATACAAAACTACAATTTTCTCTACTAGAATATAAGAATATTTTACATGCAATATTTTTCTCTCTTTTTTATATAATAATATTTTGATATGTCTATTTTTAATATTTTCAATACCTTGACTGTAAGATGCTGCTCCATACCCAATGGCTGTAAAGGCTGAAAAGAAAACAATAAGAAATATGTTTCATGAGAAATTCACCAAAGTTTTTGATAAAAATGGAATTTTTTTTTTCGAACTGATTAATAGAAATTTCACAGGTTCTCCTAAATCTAGTAACTGTGGCCATAATTATATACACCAACCATATTCTTAGCTTACAATATTTGTACAAGTCTCTACTGAAGGGAATAATTCCTGAAAATGACATGAATTCACACCCAAGTTTGATAATAAAAAGAGAAAGTTTTAATGTAAAGGGACATAACTCCATAATAGTTAAAGCTGCCGTGTTGAAAATTAATTGAAATTTATTCAATGGCGTTAGTAACATGGCAAATATCAAGCAACAAATATCAATTTGTTTAACAAAAAGGCTATAACTCGATCCTGAACCATAGACATGATAGAAGTTATTACTTAGAATTTTAAGGCTTTTTTTAATTGCTTCAAGGCTAATATATTGTAGTACAGTAGTAAAGGACCAAAGTTAATTTTATTGGTGAAAGGAAAATTATCACCAACAAACATTTTTGGATATTAAACAGATGGACAAAATAATAACTGTATATCATTTTGAAGAGCATGGAAAGGTGTTTAAACACCAGAAAATACAGTGTTTCCAGGAGAGTGACACCAGATAAAAGTACTTTCAATCCCCTAGCCCCTGGTTTTTCCTAGTTTATCAATTATCCATTTTTACATTAATAACAGCTGCTAAATTTTTCATAAGTTACAACTCAAATACAGTTTTTGTTATCATTTTGAATTCAATATACACTTTACTTTTCATATAGTCTAATGCTAGGCGTGCTAATTATATATCTGCAGTTATTTCTTCCAATGTATCATTTGAAATGATATCCAGATAAATCTTTTTTCTGCCAAAAATTCAAATTTTCAAAATGCTCGTACACAAGCAGTACACAGATCTGTATTCATTTTTCTATACTATTGATGTGTTAAACGTATACATTATCTATACTTAAAATATACTAAAGGTTACCTGTAAGGAGTGCATAACCATATAGACCAGGTTCTTTAACAAGATGTAAACTAGCATCTGTCTGTTCTTTAATTTTTACAAAACTTCTCATTTTTATCTGAAAATATAACAAAACTATATTTGAACTTTGTGATAAAGTGGAGGCATGAAAATAACTGAACATGTGTATCTCTGACAACAATGGACAAGTACATATCCTGTACCCAAGATTACACTACTCTGACATAAGATTAAAAATAAACAAAACAAAAACAAAATGCTGTTTTAAAATTGCTCTATATACGACCTTCTTATCCACAGGTTACACCTGCCTCCTATAATTAAAATGTAGGGCAATCTATGACCCATTTAATTTGTTCCAAATTCTGCATTAGCTTAAATTTCCATAATTTTGTTTAGTGCAGATCGAAAGAAGATTGCAATAACAGTTAGGTTTGAATATTTCCACAACTTATCAAAATGTTTTAAATACTACTGTTACTCAATACAATTGTTGTTAAACTGGGTAACCTCAAAACTGTTTTGTTTACAAACACTGTCACATCAAAATAAATAGTTTTCGGGATTTCCTGAATTTTTCATAAAGTTGAGGTAAAAGCAAATCGTATGGAATTCCGAATGAGACACCGGAAGTTCAATCTGATTGGACCAGACAGCACGAAATGTCTTGCCTGTAAACAGTGCTCGCTGCAGATGATATTTTGAAACGAAAATGATGAATAAGTGATGAATAGCCAATAACTAGATTTTTATTGATTGCACAAAGGTTTGCATACATACTACCAGGTGTTAATCTACATTGTGTTTGAACTGCCACATGTTATAGTTGACAAGATCAGTGATCTTGCATGAACTACAATACAATTTCTGCACAGCCATCAGAGGCATCTCCGTGAGTATCACTGAAAACAGTCTTACTTTTTTTTAAACAACTGGTTTCAGCTAAGAGCCTGAATTTAAAAAAATAACTATTTTGAGTTATGTAAGCTCAATATTTTCGATTTCAATTTTTTCAATTACAAAATTATTCCTCAATAAACAGGTTGGGACCAGTCAGCCTGTCACTTAAACAGATTACCAGACTCAGACTGTGTGTTTGTTTTTTCCACATTGGCTAGAGGTATAAGTATAGGGTTGAGATCTAACAAAACATGTTGAACCACACAACATTTGTGTGCATGTTGCTAATAAGGAACTTTTAGCCTTTGTTGGTCTTGTGTGTGTTTAAAAATTTTGGTTCATTTGTATGGTTCCGAGTTAAATGTGGTGTCCATTTCGCTGAACTAGTATACATTGTTGTTTAGGGGCCAGCTGAAGCCCCCCTCTCTGGGTGCAGGATTTTCCTGCTGCGTTGAAGACCAATTATAAATGGTGGCCTTGGGCTGTTTTCTGCACTTTGGTCAGGTTGTTATCTCTTTTACACCTTCCCCATTGCCATTCTTTATTCTACACATTAATGGTCTCAAGATGTATTATAGCAACCAGAGGCGTCAAGAAGCGACAATTAGAAAAATTTAGTGTAGTAAGAAGTTTACATACCATTTGAACAAATAAATTTACGTAAGTCAAGTCAATAAATTAAAGTTGAATATTTGTATTTTAATAATGTATCAAATTTTGTTGCTATATTTATGTAAACTATTGCATTGATTTTCGTCTCCCTTGACAGAGTCAAAAAGCGAGACATAGGTATGCTGTTTCCGGCGGCAGCGACGGCGGTGGCGTCAACAATGTATTAGTTTGTGATTAGGTCTAGTTCATGGTGAACCACTAGTGGAAGGTCAGTGATATTTGGTCAGCAGTTGTATTAGCATTGGCACATCTCATTACCATGGATATTATTTGGCCCCACCCCCTCAGTCAAGGTCTATTGACTTTGAAACTTTGCTTACTTTACATGTATAAGTTTGTGATTAGGTCAGTTTATGGGGAACCACTAGTGGTAGGTCAATGATATTTGGTATGCAGTTTTATTAGCATTGGCACATCTCATTACCATGGAGATTATTTGGCCCCGCCCCCTCAGTCAAGGTCTATTGACTTCGAAACTTTGCTTAGTTTTCATGTATTAGTTTGTGATTAGGTCAGTTTAAGGGGAGCTGTTAGTGGTAGGTCAATGATAATTGGTATGCAGTTGTATAAGCATTAGCACATCTCATTTCCATGGAGAATATTTGGTCCTTACCCCTCAGTCATGGTCTATTGACTTTGAAACTTTTACTTAGTTTACATGTATTAGTTTGTGATTAGGTCAGTTTAAGATGAATCACTAATGTTAAGTCAATGATATTTGGTATGCAAATGTATTGGCATTTGCAAGTTTCATTTCCATGGAGATTATGTAACCCCACCCCCTAATTATGGTTCATTGACTTTGAAACTTTTACATAGTTTACAAGTTAATGTTTGTGTTTAAGTTTGTTTAAAGGGAACGACTTATGAAAAGTCAATGGTATTTGGTTTGCAGTTGTATTAGCATTGGCACATCTCATTTCCATGGAGATTGTTTAGCCCTGTACCTTCAGTCATGGTTCATTGACTTTGAATATTTGCATAACTTACATGTTAAAGTTTTGCTATTTTAATTTCATCATTTGCATTATCAAAATAACAAATAGGCGAGATATATCTCTGTGTTAACAGTTTATCTTTTAATTGTAACAATAAAGAGTTTTGAGTATTTCATACTGTAGAAATAATGCAATGGTAAAGTCAAAAATATAATTTTAAACATCTCACATTTAGAAAGATTGTTCTAACTGCTAATATATTTATGATATACACCAAATAATATGTTTTCCTGTTAGATGTAAGTGTTGAATTTGATAGATTTGTGTCTGTCTTTCTCATTAGAAGATACTCTGTCACTGCCAAATTTTGCTACGTTAACCGTAAGCACAAATTTAATGAAAACAGCTGCAATGGCCAAGAACAATTGTGTGTTCATGTTTTCCTCATAGTATGGCTCCAGCCATAGAGTTTTTGTGAGGTATCTTTCTTAAACCTTTCAAAAACGAATCATTTGTTGTAATCGCTTACTAATTAATTAAGTCTCCCAAACGAAGTTTGGGAAGACTTATTGTTTTTGCTCAGTTCTTATTAAGTCTCCCAAACGAAGTTTGGGAAGACTTATTGTTTTTGCTCAGTTCTTATTATTATTATTATTCTTCTTCTTCTTCTTCTTCTTCTTCTTCTTCTTCTTCCGCGCTTTTAAATTTGAACTTGTCCGCATCCGTTCTCCAAAACCGCTTGTCAGATTAACTTAGGGTTTCACAATATGTTAGACTAACATGTCTAGTGGTGCAATCAGGGTTTTGTTTGTGCAATGGGGTTTATAAAGGGGTACTTTGAGGGGCAAAAAGAAAAGAGGGTTTTACTATAGAACCCTATGGGATTTTATTTTTTTAAATTTTCAAATGATTATAAATTGAAAACCGTTTGTGATAGACACAATCTTTTTAATTGAAAATGTTTTAAATGATAAAGCCCATTAAATGAAATACAGGGTTAGTCCCCAGGGGTCACCACCACCCCCTGCCATTTAAGAAAGTTCTAATATCTTGTAAGTGGTCAAGATCCCCACCCCTAAACCATATATATTTTGGTTTGTTATGCTAAGATGGTTTGAATGATATACAGGGTTAGTCCCCAGGGGTCACCCCGACCCCCTGCCATTTGAGAAAGTTCTAATATCTTGTAAATGGTCGAGATCCCCACCCCTAAACCATATATATTCTGGTTTGTCATGACAAAGCACATCAAATGAAATACAGGGTTAGTCCCCAGGGGTCAACCCCACCCCCTGCCATTTAAGAAAGTTCTAATATCTTCTAAGTGGTCAAGATCCCCACCCCTAAACCATATATATTCTGGTTTCTCATGCTAAGATGGTTTGAATGATATACAGGGTTAGTCCCCAGGGGTTATCCCGACCCCCTGCCATTTGAGAAAGTTCTAATATCTTGTAAATGGTCGAGATCCCCACCCCTAAACCATATATATTCTGGTTTGTCATGATAAAGCACATCATATGAAATACAGGGTAAGTCCCCAGGGGTCACCCCACCCCCTGCCATTAAGAAAGTTCTAATATCTTGTAAGTGGTCAAGATCCCCACCCCTAAACCATATATATTCTGGTTTGTAATGCTAAGATGGTTTGAATGATATACAGGGTAAGTCCCCAGGGGTCATCCCGACCCCCTGCCATTTGAGAAAGTTCTAATATCTTGTAAATGGTCGAGATCCCCACCCCTAAACCATATATATTCTGGTTTGTATTGATAAAGCACATCATATGAAATACAGGGTTAGTCCCCAGGGGTCACCCCCACCCCCTGCCATTTAAGAAAGTTCTAATATCTTGTAAGTGGTCAAGATCCCCACCCCTAAACCATATATATTCTGGTTTGTCATGCTAAGATGGTTTGAATGATATACAGGGTTAGTCCCCAGGGGTCATCCCGACCCCCTGCCATTTGAGAAAGTTCTAATATCTTGTAAATGGTCGAGATCTCCACCCCTAAACCATATATATTCTGGTTTGTCATGATAAAGCACATCAAATGAAATACAGGGTTAGTCCCCAGGGGTCACCCCCACCCCCTGCCATTTGAGAAAGTTCTAATATCTTGTAAATGGTTGAGATCCCCACCCCTAAACCATATATATTCCTATTTGTCATGTCTCAAACATTTGAATGATGTATACGGTCAGTCCCCAGGGGTCCCCCCACCCCCAATGTTCTAATATCTTGTAAATGGTTGAGATCCCCACCCCTAAACCATATATATTCCTGTACGTCATGTAATGAACAATCGAATGACGTATAGGGCCAGTCCCCAGGGGTTCCTCCCCACCCCCAATGTTCTAGTATCTTGTAAATGGTCGTGATCCCCACCCCTAAACCATATATATTCTGGTTTGTCATGATGATTTGAATGATATACAAGGTTAGTCCCCAGGCATCACTAATGCATATAACTTTACTGGACCAAACCAATTTTCACTGGATGTTGCCCAATGTCAGGCGACCCTGGGAATTACGAATTATGGGAGCTTCGTTTGGGAGACTTCGTAACAGCATCCTGTTACATTCATTTCTTGTTATTATTATTATTCTTCTTCTTCTTCTTCTTCTTCTTCTTCTTCTTCTTCTTCTTCTTCCGCCGCTTTTAAATTTGAACTTGTCCGCACCCGTTCTCCAAAACTGCTTGTCAGATTAACTTAGGGTTTCACAATATGTTAGACTAACATGTTTAGTGGTGCAATCAGGGTTTTGTTTGTGCAATGGGGTTTATAAAGGGGTACTTTGAGGGGCAAAGAGAAAAGAAGGTTTTACTATAGAACCCTATGGGATTTTATTTTTAAAAATTTTCAAATGATTATAAATTGAAAACCGTTTGTGATAGACACAATCTTTTTAATTGAAAATGTTCTAAATGATAAAGCCCTTTAAATGAAATACAGGGTTAGTCCCCAGGGGTCACCCCACCCCCTGCCATTTAAAAAAGTTCTAATATCTTGTAAGTGGTCAAGATCCCCACCCCTAAACCATATATATTTTGGTTTGTCATGCTAAGATGGTTT